ACCCACATCTACCATTTTTCATTTGTTTTGAAATAGTTCTAAATATTTCGAATAGTGAAAGAAACAAATGGGTAGTTCAAATTTATTCTAAATAAAGAGATCTTTGTACAGTCACTTTCAAAATGTTTCAGAAATATATAAATGAATTCAAATATATTCAAATTTTCATTTTCAAATTTTTGAAAAATTTAGAACTTTTGTTACTAGGGTATTCTTTTCTTCTAAATAATTCAAACGTATTAGAAACATGGAGAAAAAACCCACTCGGTGACGCGGAATCGACTCTATAGGCAATATTATTGCTTTCTTTTTTATTTCATCTGTAATGATTTTAGCACTGCTAATTATAGAGAGCTCATAGTGTATTTATGTGTTTAAAATGTGGTTATATGTTACAAGGATAGCACACAGTGGGTTAGGTGGACTGGAATATCACAACAAAGATACAGACAGTTGGAATGGCCCTCCTTTACTGTCAATACCAATTATGGTAGCCTGGCTACAAATGGGAACCAGGCTGCCCTTCTCCATAACAGATAGTGTTTCCCTGTCTTACCATGAAATTCCACAGACTGATTTCTGACAAGGTTACACAGTCTGACTTGATCTGACAATCACCTTAAAAAAATGTCAAAGCAAGCTTTCCTTGTTTTCCAGTAAAAATCTCTCATGTTTCAAATAAAGATGAATTGTAGAAAATTATTTGATAATATGATATCTGAAGCTGCTATGAATAATATCATTCAGGCGGCAGACTAAAACCTGTTTGCTGGAAAAAACTTAATATCTATCACATCATGTTTCAAAAGAGGCATGAATTGTAGAAAAATTATTTGATATCTGAAATTGCTACAAATAATATCATTCAGACAGCAGAATGAAAGCTATTTGCTTGAGAAAACTCAATATCTAGGGAATTTTACAGTATTAAGAATCTTCAAAAAGAATTCGTACCTATCACATCATGTTTCAAAGAGGCATGAATTGTAGAAAATTATTTGCTATCTGAAAATGCTAAGAATAATATTCAGATGTATCTAGAGGCAGAGTGAAACCAGTGTGTATTTCAGCTACATAAAAACATCTGGGGAATTTTATAGTATCTAGAATTTCCAAAAGGAATTCATATCTATCACAGGGAACTGACAGATGCAGAAGCATGTTATTGGGCCTGGGAATGACGGAAACTAATCATGGCTGCCGCTGACATCCACATCAGCCAGTCACCTTACTGACATGCTTCCCTTCACGTTTTAACCTCTGTCACCGGGGGAAACACGACCAAGCCAATCTAACCTTCAATCTACAAGACTAACATACCACATCCCTGTACCACCTCTCACCTGCCATTTTCTACACAAACTTTCACACAATAAAAAATCCTACTGTTTACAGACCACTACGAACACACACAACCCTTCTGGGAACAATTATTACAATTTCTATAAATAAATCTGTGCCGGCAACACTCCAAGATTTGGATGAAGAAAAATACAGGTAAGCATTACAGACGTGTTTTAATAGACGAAGACATGTAGGCAAGATTGGAAAGATGTGTAGAAGACTCACCTGTCATTTCAATCCTCTTCCTGGTCTGTATCTCCACGGCTCTCTGCCTGTCCACCTCCCTGTAGTGGGACCACAACACGTTGGTTATTGAGCGGCTACCACAGACCCCCGCCATCTGAGATAATGGCTGTTGCTTCCAAGGAGAGGGCCTGAAGAGGAATGACGGCGCTCTCCTCTCCTGCCGACCCATCTAGCCTAAACCTTTACCATTCCGGCCACAGCTGCACCATCAGAGCAGGGTTTGCCTCCCCTTTTTCATGTGGCCTGCCTGCTTTTTTCACCCCCTCTCCTCCCAGGCTTTTCAGGTGCTAATGCTGTCACAAGTGGCAAAAATCCAATCGCAAGGCAGCCTATCCAGATGGTATGCCAGCGGACAGTTAATAATACAGTGTTGGGTCCTACGTCTGATCGACAGATTGAAGTCCTGGGAATAGGCTGCATCACTAATGTATGAGGTCATTCCAATTAGAGCTATATTCAGGAAAGCAGGGCTTGTTCCTCCTACAGCAAACGTGACCTCATTATGGTTCTTCTTTGGGGGGACAGTTTCAACGGTTCGGCGCTAATCCCGGGGAATATTTTGTTGGGCGGTAAATTGAGTCGTCCTCGCGATTCAGTGTGTCACACGGCGTGCCTTCCCTGGGCCCTGTATCAATTTTTTTCGCAATTTATGTGCGCTCCGTCGGGCATGTGCCTCCTCTCCCAAGTGGAACATTTTGTGAGGGGAAGAAAAATGGTGCATCTCGGGCTCACCCCAATATTTGGAGCTGTGCCAATATAATCATTTTAGTGCAGAGTATTACATCAGCGAGCTTTTTGTCCTTCCTTCCGACCGGCTTTCGGTATTTGACACAACGTTGCCGCCCCTTCGGCTGAGCTTCGACCATGGCCACAATACCATTTGTCAGATTTCATTTTGAAAAGGAGGGATTCCCAATAAAGAGGGTGCGTTAATGAAGCATCAAGATCCAGTACAAAAAAATGTGGCCAGCGTTCCGTGCTAAAACTGCCCGTGGCAGGAGGCCCGATATCGGAAGCTGGATTAGATGCAAACTGGTATTTGTCATCCACGTTTTCCGTCGTAAAAATTTTCATCCGATTACACAAGATAGGATGATGCCTCGGCAGAGCCCCACATCATGTGCACACATCAGCATATTCCGCGGATTTAATATTCCACAGACGGAAGCTTTGATTCACCGGAGATCATTGGTAGAAATTACCTTAAACAACAGGTGGCTTCTCCGAATAGCGGCCCTGCATGCAGCAACCCAATTACAATTACAAAACCATCTTCCCAAATAACACACCCAACGATTGGAAGGTGCGACTTCAATTTACGCTTCTCGATTTAAAATTTCAACATTAATGCATGCAGTCAGAATTACAATGCGATAAAAGGGTGGCTTGTTTCTTTTTTTTTTTCCAAGACCAATTTTGTGCTAGTTCTATGCATCGTGAATTCTATATGTGTTGCCTTTAGAATATGCCTAAAGGGACAGATTGGACTGGCAGTGCTTCTCTCTTGGCTCTGTGCCACATAGGTTCAGAGGCAGTCAAATCACCTGCCTGGAATTACAAAAAAAAGACTGCGGGCATTGCCTAATGTTAGCTTGGTTCAGCTCATTTTGGGTTAACCTTAGAATACAATGTATCTATTTTGTACACCTACACAGATTTTGTAGATTGACGTTAATTTCTATTTGGGTTTGTGTTTGTGAATGAGACTAATTAAATATACAGAAAATTCAAAGCATATTCCTGATCATTATGTTCAAAGGGATGTCCTGTTACAGTATCTTTTGAAGGACTTTCAAAGCACAAATGCTTTGCTTTTCAAGGTCAAATTACATTAGAACTTCAACCATAATAAAAGCCTGGCTTTCTCTTCAAGTGCCGGAAACTTCAATGATGTCAGAAATTTACTTGAACCTTTATACTACTAATATAACATGAAATAGATAGTGCATACATAGGCACATACATATTCAAGAATACAAAAATCAAACCAAATTCAGGACGCAAATTTCACCATTTTGCTTGAACATTGATTAAGTAGAGTCAATTCCGCGTCACCGAGTGGGTTGTTATTGTCATTATTTAGAAATGTTTTGAATTCTTTGTAAATGTTTGTCTAAGAAATTTCATAATTTGGAAATATTTTGAACATCTTGTCAATATTCTAAATAATTCCCTGGTTTTCTAAAACGTTTGAAATATTCCTGATGTGGATTATGACATTTCCAATAGTTTCTAAATATTTCTAACAGCACTCTACCATTTTTTACCATTATTTCGAATTATTTCTAACATTTTGTAAATAGGTCAATGGGATGGGAAGGAAGTAATTCACACATCCCTGTGAAGTACAGGGCAGACTGCCTGGGTGTCAGGCATTGATGCCTTACAACAAAAGAGCCACTAGTGTCCAGCAGTGAAATCTAAAAATATACAGAGGAAGACAGAAGAGTAGGATTAGCACCTACTTTTATGGGGGCAATTACCCACATCTACCATTTGGTTATTTGTTTGAAATAGTTCTAAATATTTCGAATTGTGAAAGAACACATGGGTAGTTCAAATTTATTCTAAAGAAAGATATCTTTGTACAGTCACATTCAAAATGTTTCAGAAATATATAAATGAATTCAAATATATTCAAATTTTCATTTTCAAATTTTTGAAAAATTTAGAACTTTGTTACTGGGGCATTCTTTTCTTCTAAATAATTCAAACGTATTAGAAACATGGAGAAAAAAACCACTCGGTGACGTGGAATGGACTCTATAGCATATCTGCCACAGAATGTTTGTAAAATGTCTATTAAAAATAATTTGAAGGTGTTTCATCCTACCTTGGTTTGCACCGAATATGAGAATCAAACTAAATTCACAACGCAAATTTCAACATCATTTTGCTTGGACATTGATTGACTATAGTAAATCTGCCACATAATGTTTGTAAAATGACTATAAAAAATTATTTGAAGGTGTTTCATCCTACCTTGGTTTGCACCGAATATGAGAATCAAACAAAATTCAGGGCGCAAATTTCAACATTATTTTGCTTGGACATTGCTTAAGTATAGCAAATCTGCCACAAAATGTTTGTAAAATGTCTATAAAAAATGATTTGAAGATGTTCTCATCCTACCTTGGTTCACACCGTTCACAGAGGTAGGTCTCTGGGATTCTGTCCCTGCTGATGCCCATACAGTCAATGTGCTGCCAGACACTGGTGGGGAACAAGAAAGGGCACATTAAACCAGGAGGACACAACAGCAATCTGCACAGAAAGGCCTACATGGGGGCTTCTCTTAATACATGTCTTACACTATCACATTGTTTCACATCAGTAAATACACTCATAACATATCTCGGATAACCTTTTGAAATAAACTGTATGACTGAACAATTGAACCAAATATTTGATGTTATTTGGCACGAATTGCAAAATTTTTGAGATACCATTTGGCAATATTTCAGGAAATGTCTAAGAATTATAGCCAATCTTTTCATCTCCATCCTCTTAAATCTGATTCTTTGTTTTCAAGATGTCTGACATGTAAGGAAATATATGACATAATACTGGGCTCAAAATACCATCTGCATATACAGGACAGTGCAGTGGAGCTGTGCATGTATTTCTGATGTCTACCTGTGCTTTTAACCTGCACTGGGCCATGTACTAAGCCTATACATATACATGTAGCTGTCTGTGGATTTTTATTTGCTACATTCATCTTACCAAATAATATTTTCTGGAAAGTTTTCAGCGTGACCCATACTTCCTAAATTCTGAGCTGTGCAGGTAAAATTTGTCTGGTGCAGGTAATTTTACAGAATGTTACAGAAGAAAAGTATTTTGAACCCTGGACATAGCAGTAATACCCATTGCTATTCTTGTGGAAGGAGCACTCCTATAACAGATTGACTAGATTGACTGTGGACATGGCTGCAAGTGAGTAATAAACAGTAACTGGATCCTGAGTGAGATAGAGCCTGGACTTCCATCACAAGAGCTTGTGGTGCCACAATGCAATATCGCCGCTGCTAGATTGTCACTGCTACATGGAGCTTAATTTATAGCAGAGAGCCAGCAGTTTCAATATTAGTCTGAACAGATTTCAATAATAGCAACACCATGGAAACTTGAGACATTATCGCAGAAGAAACTGCCACGTAAGAAGAAATGAAGAAGTTTTAAAAAATGCATGGATACAAGATAGCCAACAAGAATGTGTACTTTTCAGACAACGTTTATCAAAATTAGACAACCCCAGGTTCCCCCTTTGGTTTGTGGATGTGCCAGATGGATCATGCACAAAGAACATTGTTAAAATTTGGCTCCCAACCATGCCACAACCACTGCAGACTTACTCCCAACCAATCCCCAACTGTTTCACAACCTATTCAGACCTACAGTAGGCTCACAAATATTTAAACCTTTCTAAACGAGTAGCTAACTTCGCAGACTGTTTATCAACCATACCCAACTTGCTCCCAACCTACTCCCAACCATACAGTAGTTGGGGGAAGGTTGGAAGTGGTTGGGAGGCCATTGTCAGCTGTGTGTGTGTGTGTGATGGGATTTATACAAAGGTTGTTAATGGGTACTTGGCAATTGTGGCCCTGCAATCCAGGCCTGCAACTCTTGTATACGGGGTGTCAGATTCAAGGACAACCAGGACCATATCAAATCTGGTGTAACTCAAAGCACAAGGTAAGTTTTCCAGCCTGAAAACATTCTCCCTCCACCTTGCCAGGACGCCCCAGCTTTCTGGCACCGATTCAGGGTTATGCAAGCAGCCAGAAGATGGACATGTTCGCAAATACTCCAAGTAATTGCACTCAAAGTTTATCACGATACAACTTCTGGACAGATGCTGCTAATATAGTCCTAGAGCTCACTTGCCAGAAAAGGTCCAACGAAGTAATTTGACAGAGTCTAAGTTATTACACAAATATCCAAGGTTACATAACTGCTGTAACGCCCACATATCATTTTTATTACATTTACACAAACATGTAGAAAGAAAATCACTCATTTCATGTGATCGTACATTATAGTCTACTAATAAGTTCCGTGCCAGTGAATAACTATGAGGTTATTTTGTACATTGGTAAGGCCTGGAATACTTTTACCTGCACTGGTGTAGTTAACACTGAAAATTATCAGACAAAAATTTCACCTACACCACTCAGAATTTTGGATGTATGGATCACACTAAAACAGTTCATAGGTAGAAATCATATGTGCCTGCACTGTCTAATATTAATAACTCCTTGCAAAAGGAACATTAATGGTTATGAACGGTAAAACCTCTCCTGTATCTTTAATGGAGCTTGTGAGTTATTTGTAAAATTCCACATGCTTTTGTAGCAAGAAATATTTATAGCAGCTTATGAATATGCCAACATGTTGCAGTATGCTGACATGATATAATATGTAGTATATTCTGAGGTACACAGCTAGAGTGTCAGATTTTTAAAGCCTAGGGCTACAAATGCTACTTAGAAAATGCCATGTGTCAGCTCAATTATTCCAATGTTCCATAAGGCCATACCACAAAGCCTAATTAAGTAAGCCCACACCTGGATCTTCTTTAGCTGCTGGCACTATCCCCGGTATTTATTGTTTGAACTTCTAACCGAAAACACGGCCCGACCAATCACGCTGCTGGGAGGTGATGTCATCCCCATCTCGAGTAGTATACATTAAAGGTAACCGTCTTCCGTTACTGTCTCCAGGCACAACCCCAAGCACTTCCTCTATTGACGGGGGGATTCTTTGCTACGTTATCCACGAGATTAGCAGAAAGGTCGGCAGGAATGAGGTTGAATAGGAGACCTTTACAGGTGTTTGGACAACGATATTTTGCCATTCACTTTTGCCTTTTCTTCACCGAGGGCATTCAAAGTCATTCCATCAGTAGGGATAGGGTTGTCAACAAAATTCAGATTTTCTTTTTGGGGAGTGGCGATTTCCTTTTTGACTAAAGAAGGAATATCTTTTTTATATTCCAACATTTATTACAAGACATGGCGGCGGCTTACCAGTAAGTTTTTTCAACTTACTGGTAAAATGAAGAAAGACTAGAAAGGTAACATTTGCAAAGCAAATGCATAATGTTTACCTTCGCATATGGTCTGCTCTGTTAATTCAAACACATTCATATATATGGTCAGACAAGAGTCTAAATCCCTCCTGCTGTAAAACTGCAACATTATGTAACCCAACACCAGTTACCATGGTGAGAGACGTCAACAAATCAGGTCACTGGCCAGGTCATAGGTCACCGTTTGGAGAAGAAGAAACTGAGCAAAAACAATATACTTCGGTAAACATAAAAAGCGAATCTTACCTGCACTTGTCACAACAGATCATGTAGCCGTCATCGTGGTCGAAGTTGCAGATGCACCGCGTGATGCCGGCGTCGTCGTCCGCGCAGGTGTCCTCGTCGGCAGTGACCGTGGACGAGAGGTTGGTGTTGGAAGAGTTCTCATCCACTACCCCGTTGATCCTCGTGATGGCTTGTGGAGAGGGGGGTGGGGAGGGGGGCGGAGGGGCACCGTAGTTGTGATCCTGGAAAAAAACCGGACAACACAACAAACGCGTTAGTCAAGATCCGTCTATCTAAGAACGCTGCCTGTAAAGTCACAGCTCCTGGAATCATTTTGCTGTCAGATAGGGGATTTTTTTAAATATTATTTTTATCACACAGTACTGGCTGCCATCCATAAAATTGTGAGGAAGATAAAAAGGCAAGATACAGTGTCAACTTTGACAGCACTCTAGGTGTAATAGAAAGGGGCAATTTCTTAGACATCGCGATCTCAGGAACTGTGACCTTTGCGGCTTGTTATCTGCTTTCACGGCAACGTCAGTTTCTTGGCCTTAACCCCAAAGACGCTGATTAAAGTAAAAGCAAATGCATTCTTGGACACCAGCAGCAGCAGTATCTTTTATCAGTGTGCTTCGATTTCATTCACAGAATTCTTTGCCCACAATACCATAATAATAACTGGTTATAGAAATTTATGACAGCCTCCACTGAGAAGCTGAAGCACTTTGAAACACACGAGTTCCACGACCTCATACCTTTGCCAAAAGATGTGAGCCTATATGAGAGCCGAATATCAAAATGTTTCTAGTTGATTATTTCTTCATTAATTATCTAAATGAGGTCCTGATTTAAGTTATGTTTGGATGTTCGGCTTCACAGTTTCTAAATGCGGCAATACAAAATTATAGTAATTTTCGATCAATTATGCAAATTAGGTCTTCACATACATAATAAATCTCTGCCAATGTTCCTCTCCCTCTAAATTACATCTGCTGCTGTACCATTTGAAACCACCAGGGGGCCCAAAATTTAATCTCATCAAGACCCACCAAGTTTCATGACAATCCACCCATAGCTTAGAGTTATCATGCCAAGTGATAACACATACAGTACTGTATAAACACACATATACACAAAGAGCCTACACAAAAAACATAACCTTCTTTGCGATGGTAAATAGGAAGCTATTTTTAGATTTCACTGCTGCTGGTATCAGGAATGAGTTTTTAGTGCATGGTTAGCTTCAAAACAACTGAAGGGAAAAAAAAACAGTCACTTGTATCAGTCACCATATTGGGCTTACCAACAAAGATCACACAACAATTTCAGCAAAACCTTGGACCATGCAATGCTCAAAACAAACAATACGCTGCCACTGTGCCAATAATTCTGCCTGCAAAATTATGAGTTACGAGTCATTGTTAAAGCATAATCAATGCCAGTTTATCTAGTCCCTTTGATGGTTATACAAATAGCATGGACCAGGCTTTTTTTGTTTCACGCCCTGCTACAGACTCTATCCAAATTGATGCTTGATGAACACGCACAAATTTAACATGTTTTGAAATTAAAGATTTGGCTATTCAAAACTTCTGTCATGGTACATCACAAAATTTTTTGTTAGTAGTATATTCGGAGATTCAAAATACAGCTGTGATTTGAACATACAGATTTTTATTTTCTAACCCTTGGATGGTGCCAAATGGTTTGTTCACATTTAGCCATATTCATTGAAGCATCATGGAAGTGTGTGTAAACAGGGCCACAGTTGCAAACTTCCCACATTTTAGTCAAAAACGCATCCCAGGCTTCCACAGAGGGCAGTTTATACACAGGCACGTCAACAACATCCATGTGTGTTAAAACTATGAGTGGTGCAAGAGGTTATCCAAGGCATACACAAGTGATACGGGGGAGACATTCCAAGCAGAATGAAAGCTAAACAGCTTTGGTTAGTACCCCTAATGAGATATCCAAGTCGTCGCGTCCAACGTGTCTGCTAGCTCCCAACTTCCGCTGTGCCAAAAACAAGCAGATTGCGATTAAAAAATTTGGTTCATACATCAATGGTTCACAGCCATGCAAACAGGTACAATTTCAAGGCAGTTTGATATTATATGTCACCGTTTTGACTTTGCATTGAAGCCCCCGAGGAAGCATCCCAGAGTCAGTGGTGAATGTCAGGTACATGTCATGATACAAACAGACACACCTTGACTGAGTTTTCAAGCAAGCTAAGTTCGATCTTATTTCAAAGACATGGTAACACAACTTGCTGTATAGCAAGACTGCACACAAAATGCTTGTCGTGTCTTGAACAAATTTTCTGCAAATCTATGTTATACTACCACACATCAACATAGCTTCTCTATGCAATAATTCACATCCACAGACATGTATATTCATTGTGACTCTCTTTTGACATCTGCATGAAATAAACATTTTTGTCTGATGTGCTTTGACTCCGGTACATTTTTTTCACACTTTGCAATTCAAATTCCAACTGACCTCTGACAGGCTTTAAAAGTTAAGGGTACGATGACCCCGATACACACGTTGCCGGCTTACTCTTTCCAGATGTGCTCCTGTTGAACTTTCAAGGTTCAAAACAAATACGTATGGCACAGACAAAGATAACTGCTGCCAGTCACGGCTAACGTTTGGGAAGAGCTTCCTCGGTTTTCTGGTCGAAGCACGTACCTGGTAGGGAAGACCCAAGTAGCTGTGGTGGGCTGTGTTGGAGGCTGTGGTGGTGGTTTGGTTGCTGGTCTGCTGACAGGAGTTGGAATCACCTGGTGCGACGGGAGCTTCCACAGACTCTGGGCTGTGTAGAGAGATAAATAAATACTCCCAGTCAGTAAAACATCACCCAACCAGTCTAAACTGTAACCGACCCAGTCTGGACTCACAAACTCGAAACAGAAATTAAAACCTCTCAGGTGTTTTGAATTACAAGTCAAATATGCTGCTTTCCTACTTATGGTATGTAACACTAAAATACAGTCCCTCGCTTATATGCACATTGGAAAAACTGAATCACTTCCATGAGTTGAATCAGCGACAAACCCGCTTTACAGTATAACATTAACTGTGGTATCTAGGAATGCCAGGCACACACGTTCCAGAGGATTAAAAATCCAATCAAATCCTCACAAAGGGAAAGCCATTAAAAATATCCCACCTTTGCCACACTAGTTACCGAAAGCCCCTTTTAGAATACATGACCTGTCGAGAAATCTGTTAGAATAATGCCAATCCCAATAATGGGCTCCTGACTGGAATGTCTGGCGGGATTTACTAAGGAAGGGCGTGTCAATGACTTGCGCTGACAACCAGAGGTTTGTCACTAACACAACAACACGGCAGCCGACCAATACAGGGGCCTTCCTCTTTAATTGGGCCTGGATCCAACTACCTCCCAAGTTTCTACTTCCGCCATGACTTGAGGGGGATTCCTACCCCAGGAACTGCTACGGAAACACTGGGTACACAGGGAGGGCAGGCCAGTATCACCTGGGATATGACCCAAATCCCTTCCCTGTTCCCTTTCAGCCTGCAGGCTGAATCATTGTCTCGTGACCAAAACGCATTTTGCATATCAACAAAGGCTGCCAGGAGACCGCCACACCCCCAGATGCCAGAGGTCGGGATATTTGTGGCTGACATTTGAGTTTGTTTTTTCCCCCAGGGGCGAGTGGTGCTCAGTCTTTGGGGTAATGAATGGAAATGAAATAGCTAGAGACCTCCAAATCAAGGTAAGGGTTCCTGGAGCTATCTTTCAATTCATCGGGGATTCGCTGGCTGCTGGGAGATCCGCGGATCTGGGTAGAAATCGGCGTTCGAGGTCAACCGGAGGGTCACAAATCCCAGACACTAAGAAGGGGGATGTGCCTTCATTTTCAGCTCCAGTGGCAAACATTACAGCACAGATCAAGCCGCTTACATGAAGGGAATAACAATTTCTCAGAACCCAACTGGCATAAAGCTAGCCGCTAGTCAATGTCTGATGTGTGTTGCTTTTGGCGGTGCAACACCAGAAAACAACAAACACAGTTTTTATTCCATAGCTGAGACAATTTGCAAGTTTTCATTTCATTCTCCACTATATTTTTGAGATGACAATTTCCACCTTTTTGCCAGTTACACTCAACAAACCTATTTCAACTGAACAACATTTTATAAGATCACTAGACACTTTGAACTGGTACAGTCTACTACAGGCCATCAAAGTTGAGTACCCAAAAGATTTTCATCCCAAGTTCCAACACGAGGTATGTACTGTGTGAGACTTACTCTGATCCGGCGGCCATGCTATCCTTGGTACCGTTGGTCGGAGCAACCCCCTCCAATGGTGTGTTCATGTCGTCCGCATTACAAGCCGGCGTAATCGATGTGGGGAAATACGGGTACACTTCTTCCTAGCCACAGCCACCATGGCCGCGGGTAGGTATGCTGCCACCTGAAAATAATAAGAGTACCGCCATGAACTTACTTCCCAACTTTCCTGGTTATTAACTCGTAGTTCTTAAACATGATGTTTGGAGAAAAATATGTGTGCTTTTTCATTGATTCTCATCTAGATGCATGAAACTACAGCACACTACAAACCTTGCAAGTAGATCAAGCTATACTTTGGTACCCTACTTGCAAATACATTCTATGTAAGCCAAAGGTTAAGGTTGATAAACATAAATTGAACTAATGAACAAATTTTGTCTGTCATTTTTAGTGTATAAATATTGAAGGGATTCCAATCATGGTACCTAAAATAAAAACTAAACTGCAGCTGTTCCAGTATGATTATGATTTTTGTAAAATAATTTTCTGGTGTTTGCAAGTTTCCTTTTAAAACCTAATTGCTAATATTATCTGGTAGTTGTCATATATCTTCAGTTCTGAGTAGTTTGTTTCTCTTTATATCAGAACAGGAACATATTCTGTACACAGGCCATTACTGGCAGGTTTCGGTGCATGATTAATTCTTTGTGATAACCTTTACATTATAACACGGAAACGTAATAGATCAAAGTTAGAGGAGAGCGCGTAATAAAAATGCTGCCTCATGACCTACGAGTATGGTAACATTTTTGATTTATTCTCCATCAGCTTTATCATACACGGTGACACCTGATTTGATGGATCTTTGTAATTTCCATGCCTGACCCTGTACCACAGAGGAATATAGCAGCTGTATCTCAGTTCTGGTAAAAGCTGGCAAGGCCAAAAAATCCAGGCACACAAAAGAACTACCTTTTGTGGGCCCCCGTGAAGTATAGCTCCCTGCATAATAGCAACCATCTCCTCTTCTGTAGCAACCTTTACATTTTATGCAAGCAATTGTGCCACAGTTACAAGTGCATTTTCACTGGGGGGACAGGTGAAACAATTGACGATTCATCTCTATTGACAAGTCAATGTTGGACTCTGTATTCAAATCGAACGGCTAGTCATCGATCTTTACTTCAAACAGGAGATTAACTAAATGCATAATGGCCTCGGCAATGCAAATAACGAAATGGGGTTCATATTTTTATATCATCTTTCAGTCTGCAATAAATCAATCTATTTCTCACCTTTCGCAATAAATATGCAAAATAAAGACCTACTAGCACTGCTAAAAGCAGCATTGCTATATCACATATTAAATCATATTCATTGATTTGAAATGTTAGAATTTTGAGTGCAAACCCAATACTCAGCTGCAGGCCCCATGTTTTTTTGCCCTAGCCCATTAGACAAAATTGGGTCCTTTTCATAAAGCCGCATACAAATGCTCCCCGTACTCATACCCATTTCATTTCTATGGTGAGCATGACGTCAGAACGCGTGTCAATAATAAGCCGAGCTTCAAAAATAGTCTCGTATCCCGGAACGCGCACAATTGACTACTCGGCCACTCAAGGGTTCAGTCACCAGGGGAGGATGTTCAGTAAAAACGACTTTGACGCACTGCATAGTGTCATGTCAATCAAAAACAAATTGCGAGTCGAGGCCTTTACAATTCATACTGAGAGCCTAATTGTTCTCCGACTGAAAGAAACGTTACATGCCGGAATTTTAGATTGAATCTACAGCACACGTACCCAGGTAAGGGACATGATGAGATTGGTTGAAAATTCTGGTAAAAGTTTACTTCGCATTACCAAGTCAGGTGAGCTTTCTTGTTGTCAACCTACACAATTCATTAGTCTACAAACAGTATTCATGGAATACACCTTACACAGTTATTCTGTGAATAACCAACAGCTAAGCCAAAGGAATTTTGTAAGAGGGAATTCTAAATCGCAAGAGTTTAAAGAACAAGGCGTGTGACATTTCCATACATCTCTACATTTAAATATAAACCAAGTACATGGACGAGTGCAGGTAGACACAAGAAATACCTGCACAGCTCCAATTTTACCTGCACTAACCTGCATATGCAGGTAGTATTTTGAGCCCTGAAAACGGAGAATTTGTTGCTACTAATTTGGAAGTTGTGTGCGTCCCCCACAGCCCACCTTACTTGGAATGTCAGGTGCAGACAATTTACCTAAATGTGTTCCAGTCTGAGATTCCAGACAAATATAATCCTGGGTCTGACCCAAATTGTAACACAGACTGTTTAAAGTGTTTCACCAATATGTATATGTTTTCTTGTAACAAAATATAACAAATTTCTTTTCATCTGCCTCTGTTCAATTCATGAGTAATGAAAAGTAGTATCCTAATCATGACAAATATTTATCAAACTGCTGTTGTCCATGAATTATCATAATTTTTCACAATATTCACGTTTGTGGCAACTTTTCTTGAATAGGAAACTTGGGATATTTTTGTTTTATTTGCCTTTGTCAGAATGACATTTAATAATCCTTCGAATATCTACAATATAGAAAACGTGGTTCACATAAAATAGTTTAAAAAACGTTAATATTATTTAGTAACTGTGCAGGTAGATATCAGAAATACCACAGCTCCAATTTTATCTGCACCAACCTGCATATGCAGGTGATATGTCGAGCACTGAAAAAATTATGCATATATGCTGCATGCGCGTTCAAGTAGAGCCAGACTGAAGGGGCCTTTGCGTAGAAGCATCTGGCATATTACTCTTGAATCTTGGCTTCGTCTCCAAGATGACAAGTTAATACATATCATATTTCTCCTGCGACACAAGATGTTAGCGAAACCTGCCTACTGATATTGGACACAACAAAACCTAGAGCAGATTTGTTACAAAATTGGCTGACCTGTCAGCTTTTCATAATTTGACAAGAAACAAATGTTCTAGGATGTCTTATTAGAACAAGGTAAGCTCAGATTCGGGATGTACTTTTCTGCCTTGTGCTAAAAACCCTTTGAAGGCCTTGGAGGAACTACTTTCAGTCACACATCACTTGGAAAGACTCCACCAAATTGCCTTTCGTCCCTAGAGCCCGAGCAAACCACCGGGCAGCCTGAAAGCCTGCCACATCTTACACTGAGTAGCAATAGCCCCTTTCAAGGCACAGCTCTGTGCCTTAAGAGTCTTGTAAAAAGCCCCGAAGTGATCAGGTATTCTCATGCATTAGTCAACGCATGCCCGCTACGTGAACAGGTTCAGGTATTATGGGAGGCCCTGTGTAAGGTTTTGTGAATACAGGATTGACAGAACTGTGCAACAAAATATGCACTGTTCAAAAGCTTTCTCATCTGTATTTTAAATTCATGACAGATACAACAAATTCCTCCAAATACACTGCACATATTTCCAACAATTCCAAGACAAGGTATTGAATATTTATATAACTATAAAGTATCAAATGCTCAAAGGGCCCAAAACTTCCAGCATGACATGCCAAGCATATCAATCATTATCCTTTAAAGTACACAAATACAGTAATGAACAATTACAGCACCCTATCTAATACCTAATCAATAGAAACATGCTTCTGTTGGCTAAATTAATATTGTATGAACTGAGTCTTTATATGAAATATTCTATGGCTTTACAGACAAAAAACCATTTACATGATAAAAAGATCCATACAATATAACAGCATTAACAATTCCAAAAGCTAAGTTAGAAAAACATGGCCGATAAGCTTTGGGACTCTGCTCTATTTTTTCTGCAACAAAGTATGGTCATGTGACTTGCGTATTCCCAATACACACACAAAGGCCAGCTTATTGACTTGACATTTTCGCTGCCTTTTTAGTCATTACCAGAGTCTTTCGCAAATTTGCCTCGCCTTCTAATCTTCTGAAATGGTTTTGTGCTAGTTATTACTTCATCAAGATATGATGCGGACTGGGGAGTCGAGAGTAACTACTGCACATGTTGGCAGTATCATATGCTACCTCACAAAACTGGCCTCCGTAGCAGGCTTATAGAACTGGGGTTTGGTGGTCTTCGGCTGTTTTCTGATTAGCCCAGTTCTAAAAAACAGGGGTAATTCAACCAGGCCGGCTATGTTGTCTACATGCAATCAGAAAATAGCACATAAAAGATCCCAAAGACCCTGAAGACCCCCAGTTTTTGACATGCTGTGGAGGCTACAAAACTGCTTCGTATTACCACCACCATGACAGCACAGATGGCAACGCCCTTCCCTCAAGTTTTAGACAATGCAACATGGCGTACGTACGGGCTCATTTTCCCCAATTGTTACAAAAGTGCACAAACACAATACTCGTACTGTACACTATCTCTTAATTAGGCTGAGTAGAAACAACATCATTGACAAATATATACATTATTTTACATGATGAGACATTCTTTAATTCATATATACAAATTGATACTGGCCTATATGGCCCACGGCAGATTCTATGTTACTAGCTATAAATAAAGTACTCAAAACAATGAAAAACAGGTTATTCTTCTTTCAACACACATCAGTTCTTGGATAAACTGCAGATACCGACAGTATGTTTTTTAAAGGCAACCCTTTCCCATATAAGTTGCTCTGACTTTCTCTCTACCTCAGTAGAAGCCATAAAATTGTGTTGTATATCCTATAGTCTCCGTTATATATAGATCCCCTGCACTCATGAATAATGCAAAGTGGTTCCAAAACACCATTAAAAATTAAGGAGGCCTCGCTGCTTTGTATTTGGGGCCATCAATCACGCCAAACCTGAATCCAATATGGCGGACGAAAACAGGAAAAGGGGGACAAACATGGCCGCCTGGCCTGCTTCCAGTACATTCTCTTATATCTGTATCTACATGTAGCCGCTTCTATAAACAGTCTTCTAGGCATGAAAATTAGCAGGCAATGCCCAGCATCCTGCGCAGGGAACTGTCAGAGCAACTGTGCACAGATAAGGGGAGCTGCAGATTCTTTGTTCAGTCTCTGCAGGTTGACGTCATGCATGCAGCCCGTATTCAACAGCACTAGGCAACCGTACCTTCTGGAACATTCCAGGTCCAATAATCATGTTGGTACTGCCTAGAAAGTCATAGCGACTTATATCAAGGTAAATTTCACATCGCATTCAACGCATTTCAGTTTCATCATGGTAAAGTCTACTGTCATGAGAAACATCATTTTCTAGCAATCTTCATCACGCTAGAGTATGCTGCAAATTTTTCAGAAAGATCATTTCCCGATGGGTATAGTACATTAATTTACTCCTATCGGACGTACTCCCTCGCTAGATGTGATTTTTCCACTGATGATGTGATGTGAATAACTGAGGTGATCCATGGAAAATGCTGTCATGAAAGTTGCAAAGCACAACCTGGAATATTGAAGATAAGCTGTAAATTGCACTGCAGCATATCCTGTACTCATTTGTGCGCCTGGCAGGCTTAATACTCCGCCAGTAGCGACGGGGGGCCTACATATCCCAAAAGCCCTCCAAACGCCCTTGTTCAATATTCTGCGAGATGCCTATCTGCCAACACAATATATACACCATGTATTCAATGCGGGGGTGGACACAGGGATATCCTTCATATATTTCTGTCTGACAAAGGTATTCTGATAATTCTCACATAAAACCAAAATTCTTCCAGGCAATGGGCTCCCACCAAATTATACAGAGATCTTGTTCCAGTGAAACTGAGCGATAGAACTGAATACAGATGTGGGACTAGCAGGGTGCAGACTGTTTCCCCTGTATGTGGTACAGTCCGCACTTTCCCTGTTTGCCACATGCAACAAAGGGGCCAAAGGGTAAAGAAGGAGGAATAAAGTACAACGCACAATTTTGCATAAGAAACTTCCGTGTAAAAAGTTTATGTTAGCACTCACTATGAGTGTGATGGAAGTTATTTTTCATATTACAGTTTCCACTGAAACATTAATTACAAGGACCTATTTGTGAAAGAAGTCATGTATGATTCGAACCTCACTATCCTACCAGAATATATTAGTTTTTTATTATTATTATTATTACAGTTGGAGACAAGCTCATACTTTTGAGAAGGTTAAATCATATATCAACAATACCACTAGATGAGTAGAGTATGAAAATAGAATCTTTCATAGTCAAGAAACTGAGTAACAGACTAGAGATATCAAAAAGAAAAGCTCTCAAATTATGCACATCTATGCATATCTAGCGATGCTATAGACACATAGTTGTGAAATAAACGTTAACACCAATGCAACTACATTGTGTTTACATTCGTGCATTGTTTAGTTTTACTTTTTCTCTTGGTTAGACACTTATTAGGGAAGACCTCTATTGTAGAAAAAACAGCATACAAGTATAACGTATCAGATATTCTCCACTTGTTAATTACTGAAGTCAACGTCCTTGTACCTTGAATGTTGCATACTAGTGCTTCAGCCTTTGTATGAAAACATACTTCACAAAAGAACCTTTTCTAGCTGTGATTAGAGATGAATGGTGGGTGTCTCTTGGGAATAATCCTTGAAAATACAAATTAGACAACAAAGGCATTCTTGTACTGACAGAAGGACACACATTGAATTATTCAATGTGTGTCCTTCTGTCCTTGTATTCAATACAAGTAGCAACCAGCTTTACAATATAACAGGTTTGGCACTTGCTACTAACTGAACAAATTAATGAACAGAAAAATGGTGATGTGTTTTCAGACAATTTAGGATCCAAGCAGTCCCTCAAACAAGTATAGCAAATCAATGTATTTCCAATATCCTGCCCTGCTTAAAAAAAACATGAGACTCTCCAAATTTTATTGTCTACTGTGCTGCATTCATTACATGCCACACCCGCATCCAGATATCATGGTATGATCGATAGGTCATTCCTCTTATAAAAAAACACCACTCCACACTGCCATGTATTTTATTCATGAAGTTTTGAAGAGGGGAAAAAATCGATAAAAGAGTGACCTTCTAACACAATGCGCTGCCTATTGAATATGGAAATTTCCTTATCAAGTGCAAAACAGGATACAAGTTACAACTGGTTGTGAAATCTATCTTTATCTATGCCACTACAATGACGTGTCTTTCACAAATACATGATTGAATGACACTGCCATTATAATATGGATAACTGGCAATAACCCTAACAGTGAAAGCATAGGGGCCAAACAGGGCTATACTTATACAACAACCAGACAGCAACATTACATATCCGGAGTACAATGTTGTTGCCAACATTACAGTCACATGACATGTACAAAATTCCTTTCAGTGCTAGTATCTGTCCCTGAGAGATCAGACTAGCTGTGTCATATACATCAATCTGGCTATACTACATACAAGACTTCTTGTCAAAGTTGGGGAGGACAAAGTCAAACTTGTCTCTAAAACCAGATTACAGCCATCCTTTGGTTAGGTCAAAGTGTGAAACATGTCAATGTGGTTTACAAACAGCATCATTTACATGCAAAGTGACAATGAAACTACACAAAAAAGTATCGAAAAGTTATATGAAGTTTATATTTGTTGGAAAATATGCGCCTACTATGGTCATAGTTTTGAATTTGCCCTTTTCTGCACTTCTAAGGAGGTACCTGTAATATTGATAATAAACTTCTGCTACAATAAACCCTGCTTGTAGTTTTTTTGGATGATTGATTTTATAACTTTTGCTATAAACTGTGTGAAAGTTCACACCAGCAACCTGGAGGCATGAAAGTAACAGTGTCCTCATGGCCACCGGCCACTAAAATTTAGACTGAGGATGACTTAGGGACATTTTGGTGACTTTGTCAAAATAAAATGTACACCTAAAAGTTCTCAAGTTTTCTACTGACCAGGGACCATTCAGAAACTCATATCAAACTCTTATCAAGCATACTAGGATGCCATTTCTTACATTAATATAGTAACTGACATGCGTAGAGTATGTCACTGTCTTGATAAATAGGTCTACATTTGGTCTTGGCCAGTGCACTGGGTGACTCTGCACAGTCCTAAAATAGTTTATGTGTTGGTGTTCTATTGAACTGTAACCTATGTCCTGAATAGCTAACCTACCAAACGGGACAGTAAAATTACGTATGCCGAACCCTACAGAGTGCTCTAACGGAGGGACTTTATCACAACTAGCAATCTTCTGTCACTTGGTAGCAAACAGTCTGCTGACCAGGATGTTGTGATCAAGATAGTGGCTTCTTACTAAGTTTGCTCTATTTAGGGCACATCGAGGAAGCATGTTTTTGTCTCCTGACCAGTACAGCTTCCTGACACTTATAACTCATGATCTGATACCAAAAGATGTTGAAAAAGACTTAACTTTCTTGTGAACTTAGGGCATGGGCCTGGTTTGTGATAAGTAAACAAAACTCTGGCCTTTGGTCAGGACAAGGTTCGGTACAGCCACAGAACAAACTTACAGTAACGAAAGTTTACATGTATCTTATTAGCAAACCTAGATACAGAAAAATGGAAGCTATATTGGGCTCACAAAAGGTTGTATGATGAAAGCAATCTCATCGAACTGACTACAAAATGGTGTGAGTTGGAGGCAGCCTACTTTCATAAATCATACATAGCATTTCTTACTTTATTGTCCACCAGCCCGACTCCTCTGGCTTCTGAATTTAAACCTGATCTATATATTTTTGCTATCACAAGCTTTGAAAGAGAAAGTCTGATATGCAGGGTGTTAATTGTAGGCCCCAGGGAGCATGTATACGTTCCAAAAACGTTTCAAAACAAAGATGTCTGCCCACTACCTGATGAGTATAAATAGCAAGAGTTGTAGACGAATATAAGTTCTATTTCTTACGCTGAAATGTAGAATACGAGTTTTCAACACGCGTATCTGATCTATATAGGAATATATAAACTCACCTGCGATGATCAGGTACCCAAGCTCGCCCCTTCACAGAGGAAGACCTGACAGGTCAGTGGAGGGAAAAACAAAATTCACTTCTGTCGTACTCTCGTCTGCTACTACCCCTATACTGACCAAAATGTGACTAATTTGGACTTTTCAATAACACCAATAGTTCTATGTTGCACTACTGTATGTACCTGGTGAGTTTCAGGTCCGTAGGAGCAACGCAATACTCTCAAATGCCGTCACAATAAACATCCAAAATATAGTTTTCTATAACCTCCCCTTCTGTCATGGCGGCCATAGAATGTCGACGTTTCGGGGTTTCCCGCTTTGAATTTCAGGAGGTTTGCCTTATTACGCATGCGTACAACATTACATCATGGACTTTTTCTCACCTTTGACCTAAAAAGGAGGTGGAAGGTCAGATGGTGCCGTGTACGCATGCGCACTGCGCGGGACCCCCTGCAGAGCAAAGTTGTTGATGTCGACACAGTCGTCTGTGGTTGGATTTCCGCTGGGCTTTCTTATCAAGAATTTTTGCAAGTTTCTGACGTCCTTTGACGGTCCATAAGCCTATCTATTGGTTAGATTTGTAGATTACTACTATGTATTCCATCTCTTTTCCGTCATGGCGTTGTTCTGAGGAGAAATTTAGACATAGTTGGGTCTTGTTTGCTGAAAACCTTACAATTTGGGTGTGGCTGGATCCGTCCTCAAACACGCCAACAATGTGACCAAGGGGCCCCGCAGGGGGATTTCTTTCAGTCCTGTTGTCAGAAATTTTCTGGTCTGTAAACATTGGTCGTTTGGTTCTCAATTCTTGTCCACTACTTTCGCTATGTTCCCTACCCTGGGTTTCACAGAGTTGGGATAAGTAGGATCAAAGTACTGCATTGATTTTATGAAGGGAGGTTGGCTGCATAGGGAATTTGTCTCGCCCTCTGTAATTTTCCATGTATAGCGTATTCAAACCACGTCTGTTGAATAGAGGGGCTGACAATGTAGTGCGGCTGGGGGCTTTCTCATGAAAATCCGATTACAGTGCACATGAAAGGGTTTGGGTCATGAAAAGGTAGGCGGCTTTTGTAAGTATGGAGGTTTGAATAATTTTTATGGGGAATCAAGTTCAGACAAAAGCCATCTGTATGTTGTTTTTTTTATGTGCCGAAGTACAATATTTACAATGGATGAAACAAAAGGTAGTGTCAAAATTCTAGAACTGTTTTCTATCAGATGTTTCACATGGTGCATTATAATATACTGTACAGCTACAAGATAGCAGAATATCGGTTTTTATACTACGGTTTTCCCTTGATCAAAGTGTACCCCAAGTGAGTCCCAATGCAAGGGACAAACGTGAAAATTATGGACAATGGTATTGCCTATTGCTAGTGAAGGGCATCATTGGCATATTTACGTTAGAATCTTAGATGCTGTTGTGTAATCAAGGAGCTTTCATCATGAAAGCTCCAAGGTGTGCCCATGATGCATGGAAAAAGTCAATGAAAATTATATTTCTCCAGGTTTAGCAAATGCAATATGTAGCCCAGGATGCCAGACTGTTCTTAGGTACAACACACGGGTTAGACCCTGAGTCTTGCTGAGGGATGTTGCGTAGTCTCCACCAGACTGCTTTCCAGGTTGAATCAGGGCTTTGTGCCCGGCTAACTTCGCAGTTTCTTTTTAGGACAGTTTCTACCATCTACTACCTAGCCTGCAAAGGAGTCTGGTGGAGACTAGTGTTTTGGGTGTCTATCCTTGTTCATAGGTTGACCCTGGAGCCAAGGAGTTAGCCTATGTACTGACTGGCCCAGGCAACAGTCTAGTACCCAGGCTATACAGCAGGGAGCTTTTTAGATGTGACCGAATCTGTTCTTGAAGATTTCCAGTACCTCGTTACTAGTATAACTTATGCCTAGTACACACAGTACATACAGTACCCCACAGCAGTAGCACAACCAGTGCAGTGAGTGCACCATCAGTCTCCATGGTACCCCATCTGCTTCTGTTTAGCATGATATGAATTGAAGAAATGTACTTAGGTATGTCCAACAATTGAATAAGAATGAATAAAGGTTGTGTTGGATGACAATTACATTGTTGATGATGCAAATGCACTCCTTGTTTATCACAATACATCTGAAATATACATGAATTGAACAAATGTATTTAGTACAGCACAATTGAATAAGAATGTCCGGTTTATCGTCTGTTGTTCCCCGTCTTCCGAGGGTTAGACATGCTTGCACAATACATCTGTGGATAAAGATTGTGTTGGAAGACAATTACATTGTTATTAAGGATGCAAATGCACTTCTTGTAAGTTGTATATCAACAATAAATCTGAAACAAACATGTTGATTGGCTGGATGCAAACATACCGATCTACAGTGAGTCTGGCTCTGTGAAGAAAACTAGGTCTGTACACATCAATTTATTGGTAAATCAAAGGAAACCTTAGAACCTTCACTGCATACATGTTCTGTCTCTGATGTGGAGTCTACCAGTACATCTAAGTGATTGTGGCATTTTGTGAGAAGCCATGGCATTTGTTTGAGCCAAGGAGGTTAAAAAAAGAGCTCATTACTGGTATACCCTGCTGTTGGAGCTGCCCCTTTGGCACTACATTTGTGCACAATGTTGACATATTATAAAGGGTGGGTCATACACCAACTGAAGAGATTACTAGTACCTTGTGTGTATCCATGATAGTGTCATGAAAATTTGAAAATTGATCTGTTACTGGTGTGTAAAGTGAGCACTCCGTATGTATGTATCATGTGAAACTTAATGGCTATTATGGTTTACCAGGGTACTGATACAAAGATTGTGCCAACGGTACACACATGCAAAAAGAACATGCTCTCGTCAGATCATAGTCTGGTCCCAAACCAAAGCTTTTTTTTTTGTCTTCTCAACTTTATCAGTAATTATGATACCTCACTCCAAATTCACAATGAAGATATATAGATCTACCATAAACATGTATCACATTTTTCAAGTGTGTGCATGGTCATTAGTTTTTAGGAGTTTTTACCAGTGAAGAATCCAAGAGGTCATCACAGCCAGAAATTTTGAAAAAAGTTGGTCATAAGAACATAGTTTTCCCTCTCCTACAAGACAAAGTATCCATTTCTCTACGTCATTATTTCACACGACAGCCTTAAAAGATCTTACAATCCTCAGTGAAGACTACAAAAATATACATGCTGAGATGTTTACCTATGAAAGGTGTATACAGGATGAAAATTCTTGGAATCAGCTGCATTGTTCTACATTGTACTAGTATTTATACATGCAATAAAATAATAAACATCAATACGTACGTATGTTTATACAATAACTTGCAGAGTTTCAGCAAAATCTTAGCTCTTGATATTGAAGCAAAGCCTGTCGATAATAACTTTTGTTTAATACATTGCAATCTTTGGTCACCATATTATCAACTCCGGCACAAGAGAATTGCTTAATGAAATCCAAATCATGTTACAAACTATTTAAGTCATCTGATGCTCGCCTGGATCCCGAGTTAGAATCCACAAACATAAATGCCTCCTAGCGGCTGTTCGGAGAAATACAACTGATTGAAGCATCATCTATTTCAATCAGATTCGCGCAAGTCAGCAGCATCACCACTACGTGATTATTCACATTATCTGTTTACAAGCTATCTTGGCTGAGAAAAATAGCTTTATGAATCCGTTGTTGGATCAGTCAACATTTATGACGACGTAACCACTACATACTGGTACCCAAACAAACCTGTACAGTAGGCACTCTGCAATATCAAACTCGAAAGGCACTGTTCTGGTGAGCACAGATTTCTCCTCCATCCAACGGAACACTTTTTGTTAATAGCAATTTTACTAATTATGTGTACATCTTTAATTTGATAATTTAAGCTGCTCTGGGCACTATTAACAACCACCTCGCTTCAGTGTTAGTTCCTTATACAGCAAGGACATCTGTGTATGTCCTTGCTTACAGTTAGAAAAGAAATATAACGTTTACATAACGTTATTTACGGAAAATAGAACAGTTAGAACTGTTCAAACATATTATGACATCCAACCACTACGATGTAAATGAAAAGCTACGTAAATTTGTCCACACATGTTTCAAAAAGATCCTGTAGATAGATACGTGATTATTCAAATTATCTGTTTACAAAGTATCTTGGCTGAGAAAAATAGCTTTATGAATCCGTTGTTGGATCAGTCAACATTAATGACGACGTAACCACCACACACTAGTACCCAAACTTGTACACGTAGGCACCCTGCAATATCAAACTCGAAAGGCACTGTTCTGGTGAGCACAGATTTCTCCTCCATCCAACGGAGCACTTTTTGTTAATAGCAATTTTACGAATTATGTGTACATCTTTAATTTGACTATTTAAGCTGCTCTAGTTCCTTACAGTTAGAAAAGAAATATACATAACGTTACTTACGGAAAATAGAACAGTTAGAACTGTTGACATCCAACCACTACGATGTAAATGAAAAACTACGTAAATTTGTTCTCACATGTTTCAAAAGATCCTGTAGATAGATTCTGTAGATAGAGACGTAGCACAGAAATGTAACACTTGTTTCTTCTATACCTGTAACCAAGTTATTAAACTTAGTGCATTATTTGGCCCGTGTAGGGCGTGGATATGCAATTAAGTTCAATGTCATTATAAACACACTATACACAAGAAGTTTCATTGGCATTATTAATTTTGCTTGGTCACCCCGAGTCAGTTTGAGCTGTCCTCCGTCAGAAACTTGTAGACGTCATACGGAACCCCGGCCTTTTCCAACTTGTCACACAAAGTCCGGAGGGTCGCGCCCTTCCCTGTCTTGTCCTTCCACGATTTGAACATTTCAACGATCTGCATGTCTCTGTCGCGGGGGTACTTGGTCTCCCACCTGTCTATGTCAGCGGTGGTGGCGCCAAAACGATCCAGACCAACCGTCATCCAGCCGGGCGGCATGGTCTTGGCCAGTCTGGCTAGATGCGCGTCCGTTATGGGGTTAGCAGGGGCTCGTCTCTTTACAGGTGGTTCCTCTGGTTCTGAGGAGGAAAACAGTGGGAATAGTATGAAGTACAGTAGATTTATTCCTCAAGCTTACTGAAGGATCTATCTCTTGAGGAGTATCCAGTAGATTCATTCCTCAAGCTGACCGACATCTCTGTCACACTTGATACAGAAGTGCGATAGATGTCGGTTAGCTTGAGGAATTAATTAACTCTAAAAAAGTCTAATCCACTCTACCCGTTTTAATTGGGGTATAACAAAATCAAAAAAGAGGGAAAACTAGACAAGAGAGACAGGAGGTTTCTCAAGTACTCTACTAATATTCTACAATGAAAAACAATAACCGGGAATAAAATATTAAACTCAGATCTTTTGGAGGATGATAAACGTTTCAAGGATTTTGAGCGTGGGATTTCCTATCGCATGTCCTGGGCGCGCCGGCGGACCTTCCTTCCATGGCCGTACCGGACTACGACGACCAACCGTTTGTCGGTCTAGGCGTGAAAAACAATAGAATCAGAACTTTAGAATCTTGAAAAAAAAAAAACATTTGAAAACATTTAGCTATTTTACCCACCATGTCCATCACTACTCTCGCTACTCTCCTCGTCACTGTCCGGCGCCCGGGCACGGGTAGCCGAGCGTGAGGAGGAGTGGCGTCCCGCGGCGTCAGGAGCTGTGGAGGTCCCGGCGCTGACAGCTACATCCCTGGTCCTCTTCCTCCCGCCCGGCCCAAAGTTTGCGCCCGGCCCGTCAGTATGGTACCGTTGTCGACTCCCGCCGAAGGGTTGAGCAGATCTTCGTGGTGCTGCTCGAACAGCAGTGGGGGTCGCTGGAACACAGACGAAGAATGTCCGGACTGTGCATGAAGCCATGATGTACAAAATGACTAATAAACTGGTGGACGTACCCGAACCACTAAGTACTAGTATCTGATACCAGTCCAGAAAAGAACAAGAAACAGTCATGCCTTCAAATATCAGAGTTATCAACCAAGAATTAAGGTGTTAAAAAACTCGTATTTCCCCAGAACTATCGTAGCCTGGAACTCGTTGCCACCAAGCATTGTTGGGGCATCATCACTAGAAAGCTTTAAAAAAACTTCTGCAAAGATTGAGTGTAACAAGTCGTTCGGTGTGATATAGCTAGCTGCTGCCGCGCCGCATGCCTGCGAAGCTGGTGTGTTACGCCGAAGGGCGTATAAGAACACAGTCGTGAACATCAGTCATAAGAAAAGGTGGGACATTACATATTCCATGGCTTACAAAAGAGAAGTCAAACCAATTAAGGAGGTTGAAGACATAATCCAAGACAATTACTTCTTATTATGTAGATTTTATACTTATACTCAATTTTGTTTCAATGTTCTTTTGGCCTTGTTATTTGCAGGAATTTTCAATAAACTTCATTATTTAAAATCTGCTCTCTGTGCCAAAGTGCGCAAAACTGCACGGCGTGGTCTAATAGCGGCACCTGTCGAGATCTGACCGTACTGTGTCTGTGAAGCTATGTCAACATGCGAGGTAAAAGTTTACACTGTCGACCAGAACATAAAAACAAACCAACGCCATGTTTGAAGTCCTCAGTTAATTTAAACAAGTTTGAGCTGATAAACTGTCTTCATTTCAGCGTTATCAGCAAAGCAGAGTCGTTCTACTACTACAAGCCTTTAGAAGCGACTAAAAAGAGTAGAAATTGGCCAAAATAGCCAGATGAATAAAATATGCAAGTAGAGTTGGTCCGCTAAAGGAGTACAGTTTGCTTCAAGTGAAGCCTGATAGAGGCTAGGGTCATTCCAGTTATAAAAAAAAAATCAGCAAGTTGTCGTCTGTCAAGTTATATCAAAGGATCTCCTTGGTTATATAAATGCCGAAACTGCCCTAAAACTCACCACTAGTCGCTCTCTGGTTCGCTAGCGCTCTGGTCTGCTCCTGTAGCGTCCGGATTTTTATCGCCCAGTCCTTGCGGTGTATCAACTCCATCAGCTCCGCCAGGGGCTCCAGGTTGGAGGCGCTGATCTGCCCCATCCTCTCCATGTGACGAAAGATGTCCCCGACGCCGTACTTCTGTAGTTTGCCCGCCGGGATCCTGCCGTAGAGAAGGCCCTTCAGACTCCGCCTCTCGTCCTCGACGAGGTCCTCCTCGATCCGTACAAACATCTCCTTGTGTGGAACCAGTATCCAGGACCGGGCGTTGCGCTGCGGCCGAGGGTCGTCAGTGAAAGGGACTGCATCTGTGGAGTACATGTCTGCAGGCTTTTGTGAACTAGTCTGAGGTAAACTGTGTTTAAAATGGCGGGATTTTCCCAAACCACGAACGTTACCAAGTTTAGTCACTGACAAACGCGGAAGTAAAATCTTAAGGGCAGGTGAAACTGAAGTCACGTGATGGCACTTCGCACTCTCACCTTTTGGAATCACGTGACAGTGATCAATATCTTATAATAGAAAATGCAGTACAGCCAAATGCTTGTCACATACAAAGATACTTAGCGCTAAATTCGCTTTCCCGATCGAACTGGAGGTTTATATAAACAGCCGAAAAAAAATCAACGTCAGCGTCAACGGCAACGTCAACAGAAAAAAATCAGTAGACGGCAACGTCAGCAGAAAAAAAATCAGTATACACGGCAACGTCAGCAGAAAAAAAATCAGTATACACGGCAACGTCAGCAGAAAAAAAATCAGTAGACGGCAACGTAATATAAACAGCAGAAAAAAAATCAGTAGACGACAACGTGTACGAACAGCCGAAAAAAAAATCAGTATACACGGCAACGTAATATAAACAGCCGAAAAAAAATCTGTACACGGCAACGTCATATAAACAGCCGAAAAAAAATCTGTACACGGCAACGTCATATAAACAGCCGAAAAAAAATCTGTACACGGCAACGTCATATAAACAGCCGAAAAAAAATCTGTACACGGCAACGTCATATAAACAGCCGAAAAAAAAATGTACACGGCAACGTCATATAAACAGCAAAAAAAATAGTACACGGCAACGTAATATAAACAGCCGAAAAAAATTGTACACGGCAACGTCATATAAACAGCCGAAAAAAAATCTGTACACGGCAACGTCATATAAACAGCCGAAAAAAAATCTGTACACGGAAACGTCATATAAACAGCCGAATAAATAGTAGACGGCAACGTCATGTAAACAGCCGAAAAAAATCTGTACACGGCAACGTAATATGAGCAGCCGAAAAAAAATCAGTACACATTCACTCAGAAAAGTCAAACTTTTAACTGATTAACTGTCAATGCTACATTACACAATACAAAACCATCGTGTCTAGCCTGGTATCCAGTCTGATCGTGGTCGGGGATACAAAAGCTCTGTCCCGCCCGCCTCACGTAGGTTTCCCGGTGTGTACTAGTGTTATTTCACGACAGATTGATTAGCCCTCCAAGGGGGAAACCAAATCCCCAAGCATACGGTCTCTTATTAGCATAACACTCCTGCCGGGACGGCCTGTTGCACTGGGCGGGGGAAGCTATTAGAGCCCCCGAAGGCTGAGCCTGCCTGAACACCCCAATACCCCCAATCACGTAAGACTGGATACCAGGCTACATTGTGTCGGGATGCAAGCTTGCAATGCACATACAGATGTACTCTCCAATCGGAGGTTTGGGTTTTGGGGGTATTTTTAGCGTGTTTTTAGGTTTTTTTTTAATCGGGGTTTCTCTTTTGCACTGAATTTTTTTTCCACCATTCTTTTGGTGGGAAAAAAATCTGCTTGGAGAGTAATACAGATGGTGTCACTTGAAGGAAGACCTCACTTCAAGGAAGACGTATCACCATAGTACGATGAACTTAAGTTCAACACAAGGTTACAGAAGGGTAAAATTTTCAGTGGCCACTGTTGCCTTCATCAGGAAAATTAATGACCAATCACTTCCGAACGTGTCACGTAGTACCATATGTACGTCTTCACTGACTTGCCCCTTGCCGACAGAATTTTGCAATAATCTCTTCTCTGAACATAACGTCCACAACTAAATAGCAAATCCCTTTAATATTCAATACCACTTGTTAAACCAGGCATCTACCAGGCTTTAGAAGCGGCTGCAAAGAGAGAAATATACATGTACCGGGGGAGTTGGTCCGCTGTTTATTAAAAGGAACTCGACAACAGGCCTAGGTTGCCGATCCCAGCATTTTTAATTTTTCTATTTGGTCAATTTCTACTCTTTCCAACTGCTTCAAGTGAAGTCCGGCAGAGACTACTAGTATTTGACGTCTACATATTACGAAAAGATCAGGTATCTTTTTCCGAACCACCTGTGAAGATTCACCCTCGGAAGCGGGCAGAGGAACTCTATGCCCCCGGCCCTGGCCAACTAATTCTCCCTCATTTGGCTGAATTTTACTGTTTTTGAACCCACGTTGTTAGTCTAGTGGAGACTAGATAAGATCAGGTACTAGTCTTTTTCCGACAAACCACCCGTGAAGTAGACCGGTGTCCAGTCTATCGTGGTTGGGGCGAGTTCGGAGTCTTCGGGGCCGCAGGAACTCTCCCCCGCCCGACTCAGCTAGGTTCCCCTGGCGTGCAAAACTCCTACAGGTGGAACACTCCTACCGGGGCCGTCTGCTGAGCATGACGGGGGGAAAACTAGTATAGAGCCCCGAAGACAGCCTTCCACAACCGCGATAGACTGGCTGACCAGGCTACCTGTGAAGACGTGGCGCCACGCCCTCTAACCTGTCTAATGCCCCGGGACACCCTGTATCACCATGGAGCCTCTGTAACAAAGGGTGTTACGTAGTACTGTCAATGGTCGGGAACACAGCGTGTAGCGAGGCACGGTACACACCACTACCACTGATCACTCAATCTCAAACGGGCTTCTGTTGACAAAATTTACAACCTGGAAATGTTGGCGGCGGTTCAAGTCGAGGAAGGGGAAGTTTGGAAGGACTGAAGAGGGTTTATAAGTGGCGGGAAGGCGGCGATGGTGTCTTACAGACGACAAGAGCGGCCCCTATGGTGCACCTGAGGGAACAACAACATGGCCGACTCAGGTATGTGTCAAGTAAATGAAACAGAACACCACATATAGAAGTTAAAAGTAGTACTACGGCACTCACGTTACATCGTACTTTAGTACATGTACTTCAAAACAACCTGGTGTAGTCTGGTTCTCCGACGCTAAAGTGGAAATGATAAAGCGAAAGCCTCAACTAGAGGTAGCTGTTACGTCGGCCCGTCTACCTGTCGAATTAGGTTAGAAATAGGTTTACTGCTTTGTCATGCCAATTGCAAGGAGGTTTACGTTACAAGAAAGAACCAAGTTTTGGTCGCAAAAATGCTCCCAGTTAAGATTGTTGATAACTGCTAAAAGGTGCTGAATAGAACAAAACGTGCTTTTATATATAGAATCGAAAGTGTAACCAACATTGAGTGAAGCGCAGGTGGCGGAAATTAATGGACGGTTTCTTTTGTTAAGCTCATTTCTATTCAGACAATTTCTCAAAAGTGAAACAACGTGGAAACGGATACATTTCTCTAACAGTTGGCAGGTTTTTTAGCACACTGAAAAAACTGTGAGGAACAAGACTAATGTTGAAAAAAAAAACACTTTTGAACTGAGATGAACATGATTTTAACATATTCTGACTTGAGATTGTTTTTTCCTGGATGATGTTTTCAAACTGGTTCCTCAGGTGATATGTTGGTACAGTGGGTAGGTAGGTAGGTGAAGATCTTTTGTGTGTTTTACCCACCCACCTGCATTCCACATGAAGAAAATCACAGTTCTTTAGCACACAATACCGGTAGGACTACTGTACCTTTTTTCTCTCAGAGCTGATCTCTAACAATCTCATTCATTTTGGACATTTTTGACTTGGCATCAGTCATATCCAGAAAACAGTTACATCAATATTGGTGCATGTAAATATCACATATAATCTTTATTGGCACAACAAAAGTACAACAAATTTTGTAAGGTCTTCTACAACTACAAACGTACAAACATACAAGGAGATCCAAATGGAGTAAGCCGGCTATGTACAAGTACATGAATATACATCAACATGTTGAGTGTGATGCATGACTACTAACGTTAGTTTTCATATATTACACGTTATTCTGAATGTATTCTCATAGTTTATAATATCGTATCTTCTTGGATTTCAGGATGTGACATTGTGTGACCTACAGTGAGAAAACTACATCTAGAGAGACCAGCTTTGATTCCCAAGAAATCTCGGCTCAGAAATTCTAAATGTTGTGTCTCAGCATTTGGAAAATCACTTAAAAGTTTTTAACTGAACGGTATATACGTGGCAGCCAACTTTTGGCTGTGGGACCCTATGACCTAGCCTCTATGACCAGACTGAGCATGGGTGGCCTCTTCAGTCGCGCTCCCGAGCAGGACCCAGACTACGCCTGGCGGAGACAGAACGAGGAGGAACTCACCAACCCCCTGTACAAGTTTGTGAACCTGAAACGAGAGGGGGAACTGTTGACAGTGTTTGAGAGGGAGGGGGAGGAGGGACTGAGGAGGTATTGTAGGGAACACCTGGAGTCATACCTGTACGATGGTGGAAACGGGAAAAGGATAGACAAGAAGGAGTTTGTCCTATGGGAGGCACACCAGGCTGCAAAGGTGAGAAACTGACTTAAAACTCGATCTGCAAGGCTGAAGTAACACTAGGATTTTACAAAAAAAGGTCCAAAAGTTAGCCTCTACCAGGCTTAAGACTGGAATATCTGAGTTGACAAAACTGTTGATGGTTAACAGGTGGTTGAAACGCTCAGTAATTGTTTTTTCAACTAGTCTAACTCCATTTTCTACAGTTAACAGTGACAATGAGTTTCTTAAGTCTTGACAGGGTTTAACTGGACTGTTCCAAACTGGCAAGTATAATGCTTTAGGTGACCAACTACCCTGGCATGTTAGTATTGAAGCCTGGTCTAGGCCAAAAGGCTCAGCAAAGTATTTTTCATTTGGCAAGTTTTATTCAGTCAGCAGTTATGTCGTGCTTGGATGTCATCTTATCAAGATTGACATCAAAGCACTTCACAAACAAATGAGTCATTATGTCTAAGGACTATCCAATTTATGTTTATTGTGACATTTCAAACCACTAACAAAGGTCATCTACTGGGTAACTAGGTCAAACGTTTTCAACATGTTTGTCATGGATGGCTGATAGTCACTGTGTTAGTAGTAAACATTGCTGGCATATCTGAGTGGACAAAACTGTTGATGGTTAACAGGTAGTTGAAATGCTCAGTATTTGTTTTTTCAACTAGTCTAACTCCTTTTTCTACCGTTAACAGTGACAATGAGTATCTAGTCTTTAAAGGGTTCTACATATTGCTGACAAGGATTCTTTTTTTTTTGTATTCAAATCTGCAAAGGATTTGGAAAAGAAGGATTTTGTAGTCAAAATGTATTCATGACAGAATTATGTTTTATGGAGTAAAGCCCCAAAGTAAATCAAAGGTTAAATCAAACTAAAAAGGCTGCCAACCCCCTGGGATAATGCTCAATATGATAGCATTTATGTCATACCTGGGCAGCAATAACATTGAATACAGGTGTTCCAGTGCATGTGATAAATAATGGTGTAACACAGCGTTGTATTTACTCATGACATACATGTATTAGTAGGCTTCCAAATGATCCGTAGAATAGTTTGAATATGTTTGGAGTGCGCCAATTTCAAAAATTTGAATATCGGATTTGGCAATTATCAAATTTTTGGCAAATTTTGCATTGAAATGTGTGTTTTCAAATGCCGTGTTTAAAACGATAGCAATTCTGCATAAGGACAAAATTCTGATGCAATTTTGACCAAACGTCCAATGGAAACAGTAAAAAAATCCTGGTTTTGTGCAGGTGCAGCTTTTGATGGGTGAAACAGTACTTAATGGTACTATTGCAATGTCAATTGGATGGATTGTGTTCATGATTCAATAATTGAATGAATGAATGAATGAATGAATGAATGAATGAATGAATGAATGAATGAATGAATGAATGAATGAATGAATGAATGAATGAATGAGGCTTTATTTCCGTGTGGTGTGCTTCACGCGCCCAGCCCATGTGGGCTTATATGACAATATTTGATAATACAATATGAGTAGTACACCAACAAGAGAGAATCGGGATACAGAGATAACAAAATCAACTCCCGATGGGTTGGTGGATAAAGCAGTCCAGTCCGATCAGCAGAGTGCTTTTTCCACCCCCAAATTGGACTGGATACCATTGTCTGCCAATCGGACTGCACTGCTTTTTCCACCAACCCAACCCAACTCCTGACGTCCTTGTGTATTTCCAGGGCTGTGCCTTCGTGGAGACTCGTAGTGAAGAGGAAATACTGGACGACTGGAAAGAGGACAAGTTTAACAAGTTCCGGGATCACGAGGCATGCTGGGACCTGTACAAACGCGGCGGTGTCGGGGAGACGGCGCTCCACCTGTGCTTCCTCAACAACACGCACAACTTCACAAAGATCGCACACGTGCTGCTGGACATGTACCCACAGTTAGCACTGGATTACTACGAGGGAGAGGAGTACTATGGTGGGTGTGAAGTGTTTAATGTTTGTGTTTTACAAGACATTTAGAAAAATGTAACATTTACTCATGTATTAGACATATTTGGTTGAAGTTGAATAGGTGTAGTTCTTGCTATATAAGGCCACACCAATTTAATCAACTGGTTATCGGATATGCCCCCTTCATTTTTTTCTGATTTGCCCCAACCCCCTACACACACACACAAAATACAGGTTCTGAATCAACTCCAAAATGCTCATATTTTTGACTGAACAGTTGAAGAAAGTCCTTGTTGTTACACTACAGGTTTTTCCATCTGTCAATGTAGTGTTTTGAAGTTCGAAATTCATAGTTTGAATTATAAACCAGCCTGGCGTGTTGACTTTATGGCTGTCCTATCATAGTTTTGTAGCCATCACAGTTGCTTCATATTTCTTCTGAAAAAATCTGAGGCTGTGGCTTAGCAATAACAATTTTCCAACTATCTGAAAATATAAAATGAGATCTGTGAGTTAGTTCAGCCAAGCTTAGCTTTCTGCCATCAAGACTCAGGTCAGACCAAAGTACATCATGAAATTCAATGTATTCCTGTTGCAGGTGAGAGCTGTCTGCACATAGCTATCGTACACGATGCGCTGGACTCGGTCAAACTGCTCGTGGAAAAATGTGGCGCCGACGTGAACCTCCGCGCCACTGGACGCTTCTTCCTCCCCGAGGACCAAAAGAAACTCAACATCATGACGAAGGCCCTGATGACGACGGACTACAAGGGGTACGCGTACTACGGGGAGTACCCGCTGGCCTTCGCCGCGTGTTTTGAGTCCCACGAGATTTACGACTTCCTGGTGCAGAAAGGGGCGGACCCGAACCTACCGGACTCGTTTGGGAACACGGTGCTTCACATGCTGGTCATTCATAACAAACCTGTAAGTCTTGTTGTTTATTCATTTATTTTATTTATTGGTTTGGCTGTTCAACCCTCACAGCCAGGGCAGCCAAACTAGCCAGTGGCTATTACAAAGGGCTTGCCCTGTTGACAAGACATGACAAAACATTACGACAACATATACCCGGTAAGGTGGATTAACAATCTACAAAACTATTAAAAAACATAATTCTGTGTAAATAAAAACTTTCTACAAAGAAACTTGATGTGGAGATGTCATAAAGTTTGCAGGTCCTGGAACTTTCTGTTTGTTTCTTAAACATCATCTTTCCAACTTTTGATTGCTTTTATCATTTTTCCACGAAAATGTGCTTCCAGCATTGAACCATTCAATTGGAAATTGTGCTTTTCAGGCTTAAGAATTTATCATGATCATACAATCAGCAATCTACTTTTTGCTTTATGTTTCACTGCTTTTTGCTCCTTTTTGCTGTTTCTGTACACTGCAAGATGCACAATATTTTTGTCATTTCTTTCTCCACTAGTCCATGTACAAGTATGCCATGAAACACCCCACCAAGCCAGCTGACCCCTACAGGAAGAACAAGGAGGATCTCACCCCCCTGACCCTGGCCTGTAAGATTGGGAGACCAGATATGTTCAACACTATCCTGGAGCTGGGCTCACAGGTCAGGAGCAGTCTTACTATGATAATCATTATATTGTTCTCTGGATCCGATTTACATGTGGGCAAAAACCCGATGGTATGAAAGCTATCATGAAAGTTCATCTGTGTTGGTTAAGTTACATGTTTAGAAGAAGACCAGAGTAACTGGTCGAAAGCTCTATGTGAGAGAACTTTTTTGTGTTGGACCAAAAGTTTTAACTCTAAACAAATATGCACAGTTAAGCATATAAGAACTGTGTATGTTGAATTTTTTCTGTGTGTAAATTGGCCTAAGTGGCATACGTTACCTTGAGGCCTGGCATAGAATCTCAACGTACATGTATATTCTTGGCGTACACCAAAGCAGGCCAATTTATAAGCAAAAAAATTACACGTACATGTGTATGTATATTGCATGCAGTTTTCGTACTGTCAGGTTTCTGCTAGCATGTAAATTGGGTATAAGAAGAAAACTTGATAGAAGTGGAGATTGAAATATTTTTTTAAAATATAAAACTACATGTATATAGAAGTGCCAATGCTGATTAGAGTGACTCCCTTGATACGCGTTTTCTGTAGTTCCCACTGCACATGACATTGTACATTTGTCTTACACTAGGGTTAACATCCTTGGACAGGAATATGTATCAATTATTCATATTAAATCTTCTTAATACAACAGTTACCGTGATCCAAAATTAATGTTATAAATGGTCAATTCCCCCTGTAATATTTCACTTCTGGCATATCTATTAATAATTTACATAAGGAAGGCAAAGACCCTTTTATTTTTTATGACATGGCATATACTCATCTATTTGGTCACTGGATCTCAACTTTAAATAAAAAAATGTAATAAAACTAGAAAGGCCAATATTTGCTTTGGAGCAAATACAGCGATGGCTTCACCACATTTTACGACATGGCAGGGAAAGAATGAGAAACACAAGGGAAAACAATGCTTTACATTGATATAACTATAATATGAAGTAACATACAACTAAGACTACAACAGTTGGCTAGCTATTCCCTACATTATTGGTTAGGATTTTTAATTGCATAATGCAAACTGTTGATTTTCAAAAAAAAAAACGTTCATGCCCCGCATTCCAATGCTGGAGCAGGAAAGCTTGAAATACCTACCAAAACACTTGAATACAGACATACTGTCAGTATGGAAATGGTCTGTGCAGGTGTTCATCAAGTTAAATCCCAACAGCCAATCAGCAAGAAATGCTCTGTGCAGGTGGAAATGGTCTGTGCAGGTGTTAATCAAGTTAAATCCCAACAGCCAATCAGCAAGAAGAAGAGAGGAAAGCTGCATGCCTATTGGTTGATGCCCTGCATTCCATTGTGATGACTCATGCCAAATGTGGTTAACACTGCCCACTGACACAGTAATACATTTGCTATAATACAGCCAAAAAACTCAAATAAAACCATTCTAAAAGCCTGTATCACAAAAATTTAAAAAACGCCTAAGGGTATTTGCCCACTGTACCTCCATACCAAATTTCAGATCCTTAGGCCCCAAAATGAAGAAGCTGAATCCATTTAAAGATATGGCAGGAGGAGAAGAAGAAGAAGAAGAAGGAGGAGAAACATCAGAAAAAGCAATATGGTTTCACCACACCACTTCGTGGTGTGGTGAAGCCATAATAAATGTTCGCTCTACTTTCAACAGTCATAACAGTATTAACAGGTAGTACATAATAAAAAAAGTGCCAAGATTTAAAACTCAACTGAAAACGCGTCAAGCAACTTTTCTCTGTCAGTTAGTGAACTTGAAATCATTGAAAGGCAAGGACAGTGACCAGTTTGCTTACATGGTTGTCTGGCAACCAAGTTATTTTGTAATTGGGAACATACCCGAGGAACCGGTTCCATTCAGCAAAGCAAGTAAATATTTGCCGTCCTAACATAGGTGAAGGTTTGTTTCCCTTTGTTGGTGTGAATGACATGTTGTGTTGGCAGTACAAAGGCTAAATAGACTTACCTACAAAGACACTGAGATTACTAAATGGACAAAACCAGCAGTGGGTGTGATTGAAGCATTGCACTGGCTGAGTTCAAAGACTTAGTTTGTCTACAAAGAAATTAAGATTAACTTGGGCAAAGTCAGCAACTAAATTTCTTTAATTCAGGTTTTTGATCTTGGTTACAGAACGAGAGTGCAGTACAAAATAATTTACATAGAAAAAAATATATACCACAATCAATGACAATCATTGCATTTGATGTACCAAAACAAAATTGTCTTATCTGGCTATCTCTTTTTGAACATGAAGTGTACTAGTATGTAATAATTTAAAAGAGATTTTGTTCTTATTTCCACAGGAGTTCTGGTCCTACAGCAATTTCACCTGTTCTGCCTACCCACTGTTCTCTGTGGATTCTATTACAGCAGAGGGGGAGACAGGTAAGTCAAACTAGATAACACTATTAATAGTTATGGATTATTTAATCTAAGACCTGTGTATTGCCAGCCCATTCTTCCATTTGAAGATTTTATTCTCTTGGTATTTTCTGCAGTTTAATTGATATGTAATATAAGTTGTGATTATAAACTACATGACCTGTTGTCCCCCCACCCCCCTGCCAAGTTGTTCCTGCCAAGTTGTGTTTGAAAATGTAAGAAACAGCAAACAGTATCTGTATCTGTCGCCTGTATCAGTATGGCTGGTATAACTGCATTGACGTAACATACCAGCTTCACAGGCACATGGCGCGGTAGCAGCAGGCTACATTACACTGAACGACTTGTATTTAACCTCCTTGGTTACACCTAGCCTTTGAACATGATGTCATCTAACAATTAAGGACTTGAACACAGCAGAAGCGGACACAATAAACAACCTTGTGTCCGCCGCCTCTAAACAGTAACAGTGCAGTATTTGGGCAGGGACCTTATGGAAACGACCTTGCAAGGACATATGGACTACGATTACGGACTATCGATTTAGGACAGTGACCTCTGACCTCATGCCAGAATAATCGTCCCTACGATTGTGGGCATTAGATGGAAGAAGAAGAAGAACTCTAAACATTGTTTAAAGCTATCAGTAATGTCAGTTGAGATGTTTACACTATGTTATTAACGTCATGTGACCTGTATGTCCAGACTGGAAGTCAGCCCTGATGATCCTGATTGACGGACGAAGTGAGTGGACCCTTCCCATGCTGCAAGGAGGGGTCATAGGTCAGCTGCTGGAAGAGAAGTGGAAAGTCTTTGGACGGGTAAGAGTTGACAAATTTTGCTATATTCATCTGTGATTTTAGTATCAATCTGTGAGTGCGAATATAATGTGAAGGCTTTGTCCGTGGTACTGAACCACCTCTGAAGAAGGTAAAGTCCCTGTCACACATTCAGAACCTTCCCCCGAATGGTTGGGATCAGTCTGACCAAATTTAGATCATGCCTCTTAACCTTGGTTGGACAAAATCTTGGGTAAAAATATAAACATCCAAGGACCACCATCAACCACTCTTGGAACACCATGTCCATGATTTGCCTCCAAAAATGTGGGAAACTGAGTTTTTAAAGGGTTGAAAATCCAACATTTGTCCCTGGACCCCCTTAGATTGCGAGCACTCTCCCCCCCCCAGGTCTGATCATGAACCCTGGCTATGTATGACAGGGTAAAGATGCATAAGTTGACATTTTAAGATGTGCCCTCTCATCCACTTTCCCCTGATCTCACTGTAAGACGTGTTGAAAGAATGGTTCAGGAGTTCCCATGTACAGGACCACTAACATACTAGTATTGTATAGTAAAATCATGTGGTGTTTACCTGTTGTCCCCACAGAGAACGTTTGGCCTGCAGCTGCTGTGGTTAGTTCTGCACCTGGTGTTCCTCAGTACAGCCGTGTACCTCCGCCCTGACAACATACAACTCATCACGGGCACCACAGCCTCAGATATAGTAAGGCTCCTAGAAATATATTATATAAATTTTTTCAGCAAATAATTTCATCGGGTTAATGAAGAATTGAATTGCAAAGTTCTTTCTTTGCAACCACTGTTGAACAAGAGCTGAGGAAGATGACAGATGGTCATCAAAAAGTCATCTTTTGTTAAACAAGTGAAATTGTAAATAAACTTACTATAAAGAACTTTGCTATTTGATAGTTCATATTAGTTTTTTGGGTTGAAAAAAATTTTGTCTTATATTTCTGTCATACCTAGCTGTTAAGTAGCGATCTTAAAGTTTATATTTACCATTTTAATCAATTTTAGTATCTCTGGCCACACAATGTGCTAATGTTACAGTTTTGAATTCGAAAGAAAACTGATTATTAATTACCTTATGTCTTCCTTCCTGTTCCGATTGGAATATTCATGCTGGTTAATCTTTCCACAGGCACGTTACATCACAGAGATCCTGATTGTGATCAATGCCATCGTCTTCCTCTTACTAGAAGTAAACGAAATCAGGATGGTCGGTTTCATGGGACTGATAAAAAATATTGTGAGTATGAGAAATCCTTGACAATGCAATTTTTGTATTGAAGTGTGTGCTGATTTTTTGGTAACATGAAGTAAGATACTTAGACTGGCATGTAAAACACTAACTTAAAGAGTTAACATAGGATTGTATGGCGTAATGCTTGGATGTTTAGCACAGAACCCATAGGTCCTGGGTTCGAATCCTCCAACTTGTCCCAGTGTTGTGCCCTTGGGAAAGCCACTTTACATGAATTTCCTCACTTCACTTAGGCGAAAATTAGTACTCTAGTACCTAGCCTTACAAAATTTAATGTAGTTAGTGAATTGACCCTTGGATAGGATGTTAAATGGTCCCGTATATGGGGAGAGCCACACCTCACGTTAAAGAACACATGTTGGGGAGAGCACATGTTAAAGAACCCATCACAGTTTTTGAAAAAGAGCATGCCCTGGTGTGCAAATGCTACTATCTGAGAGTTGGTGATTCACTACAATTCACCTGGATGGAGGCCTGGCAAACCCCCAATTCGTATTCACTCAACTCATCTTGTATTAGCCCCCCCTTAATATGCAAGCTGTAGCAAAGTTGCATTTCACTAGTAGCTGCTTCAAAAAGCATCATGCTTCACAGTTGACAATAAAACAAGAAGAAGAAGAAAGAGTTAACTCTATTAACCAATGTTTTTGCTTGTCTACAGTTGAATGTACCAGACAAAGTCCTGTTCATGATCGGCTGTGTGTGCATCGTCCTGTGCATTCCTATGAGATTCACCAAGCTAGTGGAGGTAGAGGACTGGCTGTTGGGGATAGCTATAGTTGGCAGCTGGTTCTACATATTCTTCTACTGCAGGTAGGAACAAGTTATCATAACAAATATGGCTATCACTGGGCAATGTTCTCCAAGGCTATGGATATGAGAATCCCAAGTGTTTGATGATATGGGTTTGGATGAAATATGATGTCAGCACATAAAACAACAACAATGGATTGGCCTGCAAATTACAGAATATAGAAGAAAAGAGTAAAACATTTGCTATGAGACCATTTGTTGAGTGGAAAGTATTAGAATGGGTCAATGTTTCACAGATGAAATAGTTTACATTATGAAGGCAGGATGTTATGACATTAGTTCAAAGTGTATATCAATATTAATTGTTTACAGCAAATTCATGCCGAGGGTTAATTGCAAATACACAAGAAACACTGATATAGGTACAAGCAAGTACATGTAATACTAGACACTAGTACTCACTCACTCACTAGACACAAGCTAGACACAAGAAATAAAAACTACCGTATCTCTGAAATCTACTGGAGAAGACAAAAGATCCCACTTTTTCTGTAATGTGTGGGTTTTCTGATGTTAAGAGTAATCTTTGAAGGATGTCAACAAATAACTTGAAATATTTCTTTATTTTTCTTGAACAGAGGTTGGACCCTGACCGGTCCGTTTGTGACGATGATCTATAAGATGATAGCAGGAGACATGGCGAGGTTTGGTATCATCTACCTCACCTTCCTCATCACATTCGCTCCAGGTGAGAAGAACAATACTGGGGAACATACTGGGCTGGTTTATAATTTTGAAATTTCAATTAAACCATTGATAAAGGTAAAAACTGTAACAAAGTTTGGAAGGCAAGGACTTCCTTCTAGGGCCAAAATATGAGTATTTTGGAGCAATTCTTTTGGCAAATCAGAAAATATGAAGCGGGCGAATCTGAGAACCAACTAATCAAATTGGTGTGGCCTAATCATATTTTATTTCAGGCACTATCATCTGTTTCAATACTATATTCTATTTCGTCTCCCCCAGCATTCTGGATCATGTTCCGAGACAAGCCCACAGAGAAGTTTGACTCAGAGATCGGAGCAGTGATGACTCTCTTCCAGATGACATTAGGAGAATTTGATGTAAGTTTTCCAGCCTTCCTAACAACATCGCCATGTATTTCTGAGAGAATGTTAAGAAGGAAAGTATCTTTGTAGATATATCTATATTAGTAGTGTACTGGACTGGTTTACATCTATTTAGGAATATAATATACATACATGATGTACTAAGTGATAGGCGAAGGCCGTTCGGAAGTGCGGGCAAGGCCGGCCGCGGCCGGGCCCGGTTTCGTTTTAACAGAGAAAGCTCCGAACTGTAACGGCCTTCAAAAACTCATTGTAATTATATTGTATTTGTACTGCTGTATGGCTATTATGTGCTATGTACTGTGTTGTTATCATTGTATTGTTTCTGCATTTTTATTGTACCCAGATCTACCTGAAAAACAGGTCAAATGACCTGAGTGTATCTTCTGGTTAAATAAATAAACTGAAACTGACATGTACAAACATGCACATTTTCAGCACCAAGGACAGGTACTGCTGTATGAACACATGACCACTGTGGTGTAGTAGTGTACTAACTGGACTGGTTTACATTCATGTAGGGAACATAATAAATGTATATATTTACATGATTATACAAGCATGCACACATGCCCCAAGGACAGGTACTGTTACACGAAAAGACTGCCATTATGGGCATTACATTCAACAAAAACATCATCAACAACAGCATTCAACCGCAAAATTACCACAAATACACAGTGATTTACAGTATATGAATGAAGAATTTTTTCTCCCTCCCCCAGTACCCAGTGTTTAACCTAGCAGAGTTCCCAGCCCTGGCCAAGCTGCTGTTTGTGGTGTTCATGATGCTGGTACCCATCATGCTCCTCAACATGCTCATCGCCATGATGTCCAACACTTTCCAGGAGGTCAGAAACAACTTTTGTTCTTGTAATACCTAATTGTTGCAAATAACTAGAAAGGTAACATTTGCGTAGCAAATATGTAACGTTTACTGTCATGTAGTCTTAACAAAGTACTGCAGTTTATTGCTACTTAAATTCATATGCATGGTGACCAGCCCCTCCAGCATCCTGCCACTTTGCTACATAATGTAACCCAACACCACAGGGTGTCTGCTACAGCACCAGTTACCATGGTGACAGCTGTCAAAATGAATCTTACCTTCCGTATTTCCCTCAGGTGGTGGACAGGTCTGAAAGAGAGTGGAGAAGACAGGTATGTTCAAATATACATTCTATTCTGCAGTTATGCTTTTATTGTTATTTCAGGGTTTCTTTTTGAAAGATTATACATGTACAACAGTTGCTGTCCTACAATGATTACTATCAACACAGATGAAATTCGATGATCTGTACAAGAGTACAAATAACAAAACTTAAGGATATATAGATATAGAGCTGGTTTTACCGTCTTTAAACACAATCAATATGTGCGTCTTCCAGAAATGCAACCATAAGAGGATCAAATTTTCGCTATAAAAGAAGTCTTCCTCTTTATAGTATTATCAACTTCATATTCCTTAGTAGTTAAAGTTGACAATGGTACTTACTTTATTACATGTGGATTTGTATCCTTGTTGCCATTGCAGAAAGCCAAGATCATCGTGTCCCTGGAGCGTTCCTTCTCCAAGTCCTCCCTGCAGCAGTTCCGTACAGACTACTCCATCAGGCTGCAGGAGAACTCAGCGGTGCACCTGCCGGTGGAGCCGGGTCCACACGGTCTGCGCGCCCTGCTGGTCATCAAGGAGGAGACCATGAGCAGGGCCAAGAAGAAGAGCGGCGTGGTGGCCAGCTGGAAGGTGAGGTTTCAGATCTGTTAAAGTTAAAACTTTTGGTCCAACACAAAAATTCTCTCACCTAGAGCTTTCTATCAGTCACTTTGGTCTTCCTCAGTAGACTGACCCAGTGAGGCTTGTCACGTGGCTTCTTTGAAGTGTGATGTCAACACTTGGTCAAAGGTATCTGGTAGACATCACACTTCAAAGAAGCCACATGACAAGCCACACTGGGTCAGCTGGAAAGTGATCGAGTTTTGAAATCATCATAAACAACAAGGTCACACCAATTTGATTTGTTGGTTCTCGGATATTTTTAGAAAAAATATGAAGCGACAGGGCAAAGAAAAAACAGACCTAGGTCTGCTGTGGTAGCCCCAAAAGCTATGATAGGAGCCATGAAGTCAACATATCATGCTGATGTATAATTTTGATTTTTGGGATGATAGAAAACTTTTCAACAACTAAGAAAATATCTACTTTTGAGTAAAAAAAGTTGGCGTTTATGTCTAAATTACATGACTGACATAGCCACATGCATTTAATTCACCGACTATTCTATCTTTAGCCATGGTATCTGTGCTAATGTCTGTTATCTCTTAAACCTGCTTGCCATTTGACATCTTACGGAACGTAAGTATCTCTGGTATACTCTGGAGAATGTAAACTATGTGATCCTCAGAGACCGACACAGTTGAAGATGTCAGCTGTTGTTACAGAAGCTCAAGAACCTGGCCGTTAAGTGGGCGAAAAGCTCCGACAGTGCTCCAGCCAGGGTAGGAGTGTGTGATGGAAATGTTGTGACATTGCTGTGACATGTACCAACTACTAAATATCTAAACCAGCTCAGAAAAAAACAAGAAAGTGTCATGCTGTTATTACAGATGCCAAAGAACCTGTTGGCTGTTAAGTGGGCAAAAAGCTCTGACAGTGCTCCAGGGTAGGAGTGTGTGATGGAACTGTTGTGACATTGCTGTGACATGTACCAACTACTAAATATCTAAACCAGCTCAGAAAAAAAACAAGAAACTGTGACAGTCATGCCTTCAAATCCATTCGAGATGTTAAAAAAATAGTAATACTGGTTTATTTGTTTCATGTAAAACACATAACAATGGTTCCCACATGGCAGTCACAAACTGAATTGCGTGGGGGTTCCATTAACAACAGTTGATAAAAACATTAACTGTATAGGGTACAATATTAAAAGCGTAGTTATACTGTAGCTAAATTACACAATAACAAATTTAAAATATCTAAAAGATCTCATGAAGACACATTATACAATATAATTTAGAATAGGGCAGTTTTTTTTTCTTACAAGTTCAACAGTCGCACCATGTGAGGTATTGCACTAGAGTTATATCTTTCTGATTTGCAGTGGATACTATCGAGTTTGTGAGATGACCTAGTTTTTCTTCCACTCACTTCCCCCCGTAACGGTGGTAGTAAATGTCTGTACTGGTCAGACTGTTCAAGGGATTTGGCGAATTTTGCGGTCAGTTCGTGGCGCCGTGCGTAGAGTGTAGGAAGACCAAGTTGCGCGCATGCCGTAGAGTACGACGTGAAGCTGGCTCCAAGGATGATTCGCAAGGCCCTACGTTGTACTTTCTCAATTTTGTTGCTGAGGGAGTTAGAGAGTCCGGAATGCCATACGGGTGCCCCGTATTCCATGACTGGGCGGATGTGGGAGATGTAGACAGACACAAGGTCTTCAATGGGAAGGTGGAAGTGTTTCAGTTTGCACAAGAGGTATAGCCTTTGGCTGGCTTTGTGGTAAATCGTGTCAACATGTATGTTCCACTTCAAGTTTGCTTGGAGGTGGATCCCTAGAATCTTCATGGAGCTGACTTCCTGAAGTACAACATTGTTGATCGTTAGAGGCCGTGGGATGTGCAAAGCTTTACTGAAGTAGACATACATAACTTTACACTTCCCAGGGTGCAGCATCATGTGGCTTTCCTTTGACCATTTGTCTAAGTCAGTCAGGTCTTGTTGCAAATGAGAGGAACTTGTAGGTGGGTTTCGTACTTCCAGTAAGTTTAGGTCGTCTACAAACTTCCAGCGCCTCGAGACCGCTTGTTGTGCTGCACTGTTAATATAAGCGGTGAAAATAAGTGGGCCCAATAACGTACCCTGTGGCAGACCACAAGTGACCGGTACACTGTCAGAGAGGGCCCCGTGATAGCGCACTACCTGGCATCTGTTGGTGAGAAAGTCAGATATCCATCTGGCTATGTTAGAAAGTCAGATATCCATCTAAAAACCCTGTTTTTTCCTTGAACTATCATAGAGTGGAACTCACTGCCACCAAGAACAGTAGTGGCATTATCACTAGATAGCTTTAAACAATGCTGCACTTAGATGTTCAAAGGTTAGGTGTAACAAGTTGTTTGGTGTAATGTTGCCAGCTGCCGCTGCATTGTGTTTCTGCAAAGCTGGTGTGTTACGTCGAAGAGCTGTAATACCGATACAGATAGCTGACAAACACACCCATTAGAAACATGGTTTTCGATCTAAAATGAAAAGATCCAAAATGGATTGGTTCATCTTGGGATTTACTAATTTGTGTACTACTAATCAAACTAAAAGTTACTTTTACAGTAACAAGTTTATTTTGGATTATTTGTGTGATGACTTTGATCTAATCTGTCCAGTTCAATGAAGTGCTGTGCTGCTAAGACTTAATTTTGGCTATCATTACAGCATCCATCCCTTCTCACTCAAAACTCCTGTACCTAATTGATAAGTGGTTAGATCTTATCTTAACCTTACACTTCTCATGTGTCAGAAATCACCTTAAAGCATAAGACATGAGCATCTCTGAGTGCTACAAATTATCTTTAAATTCATAGTGTCTTGGAAGGTACTGTTAGTTATTCTTGATACACAAGCATAGAAATTCAGTGTTATTTCTTTACCTTTTATGGCCAATGTGATGTCTAAAATAGAATCATCTATATATCATATATATTGTACTTGAAGTTATGAGTCTAAAAAAAACAGAATTTGGGATCAGTAGTTTCTGTTTTTTTGGACTTGGTCCTTGTATGTTAGTCCAAGTCGAACTAGGTACCCACCCCTAATTGTGACATGTCACCTGTAGTCAACTAACACACATCCTTCTTTCACATGTATTACAGGTGATCGGGAAGCATGCACGTGACAAGCTCAGTCTACAAGCCCAGTCATTAAAGCTGGAGAACAACAAAGGCAAGAAACCGCCGCAGGGTGGCAAACAAAATGGATTCTCCCTAAAAAAACCTGACTCTCACCCCAGCCTGCATGAGATAGTCGAGGATGCAGTGGAAGAGGAAGAGGAGAGAGAGGAACTGGAAGCAAAAAAGAAGAATTCTAAAGGAGAGAGTCTGAATCTACAGACGTTTAATGTACAGGTGAACAGGAACAATGATGAGAGAGATGCTGCAAGCTGCAGCAGTGCAACCAGTTTGATCCAGGTGGAACCGGCTACAGAACCTCAGGCAGCTACAGTTACTGTTCTGAAAAAGGACGGGACAGACAATAAAGTGACAGTTGAAGGACACGTCAACCCAGCTTTTGAAACTGGAGAGAATGCTGATGAGACTAAAGCAGGGGAGGAGTCATAGGAACGATACAAGTGCAATCATGAAATAGATTGAACGCAAAGATTTATCGGAAATCTTCTTCTTCTTAAATAGGTCTCGAGAATAGCTGTAAAATATGTAAATAAACATTGTGGAAAGATGGAATCATTTTTGACAAGGCTTTGACGACAAGAAGGTAATTTGATACCTTTTTGGTAAAGAGAAAGTAGTGTATATACATTTGTACGTATACTGGGTTTTAGTTTGGCAAGTGGCTTCCAAAGTTGAAACTTTGAATTCTTCAGGTGTGTTCAAACCCTGATGAGGTGAATCGAATTGATCTAATAGGGTTCATCTAATAATCTCTTTTAAGGTTATTGGCAATGAGATTACTGTAACAGTAAAAAATTTATGGCTACCTCTAAGCAGGTTTACTTAGTAGGCTTCAGCTTCTTTTTTTTACCTGTTTTTAGGTGTTTTTATATTGGCACAATGTGCTGGCAGCATTTTTTACACCAGCCAAACGTTGGGTGGCGAATGGATACTAGTACTGCTTAATAAATGCCTACCAATGATACTGTCTTGCCAATTTGATTTGTGTTGCAGCCACATAAGAGATCTGCTTGGAGATAAAGTGATGGCAGATTGGTTGGATGATGTACAGGTTCAATCATTGGCCCTGTCAGCCACATTTTGATACAAGTACCAGTACACTTATCAGCCACTTCCACTGAAAGCTGTATTAATTGAAAGAATATGTAATGTTACAGTGATTGCCAACACTAAAATGGATAGATAACATAGTATTTCTGAAAGAAGTTCTTGTATAGAAATTAAAGACGACACCAATGATGCATCAAATGGTGATGGGGATAGGTATTTTCCTAGTGAATTAAAAAGATCTGACTACACTGATGTTACTGTCTTTCATTTTAAGTTACTTTTCAGTTTTTCAGTTACTTTCCAGCTGGCTTTCTAATTCCTGTCCCATTTGTGGGGGCCTGCATGCCCTTTTTCGTAAGGTGTAATCAGGCCTTTTTACTGTCTTTGAAATCTGTAGGCAGCCACCCAAAAAATGAAGGTAATTCGTAATAGTACATTAGCCGCAAAGCGTTAAGTCGTAATCAGCTCTGAGAATTTAATGCAATTCGAAATAGGCGAAGAAATGCAGAATTTGTAATCACTACCCCCCAATGCAGGCCCTCATTTGTGGGGGCCTGCATGGGGGGTCCCGACAACGCTCTATGCTGAATTCGGAAACTTCAAGATTACGCTTTACGATAAGGTGGCTACAACGCATATATGCATTACGTAGAATTAAAACGGCGAATACGCTCTACGCAAAATGCGCCAATTACGCTGTACGTTGAATTAGAGCGGTCTGTCTACGCTCTACGTAGAATTGAAATGGGCGATTATGCTCTACGGAAAAGGCCATGCGGGCCCCCATTTGTGGCGAGGTAATTGAAACATCTAGTGTGCGCTGGGTGGGGAGGGCCTGAGGTAGAGACCTTGGAGCCACAGCAGTCAACAGGCTGGGGAGGGGGGCATTTAGGATAGAACCTGTCTTATCTTCTTAGCATCAGTCAAGTGTTCATTTATTCTCATCGAACACCAAATAAGTGAACCAGTGACCCATTGGACAGTCCAATAGTTGGAAACACCATTTACCGAGGAAGGTTGATTCTTGTCAAGCACCTGCTATTAAAACATCCATGGTGTCTCCAACTCCATTGCTCCTGGACGCAGTTCAGCCAAATAATGATGCTGAAAGAAATCAATTTCATATTAGTCTTGCCATTGTTTGCAGTTAAAAGTGTCTTTACCCAGACATTGCAACATTTTTGGTGTGCACGCCTTAAAAAATGAAAAAAAAATGTTAGCATCGGAAGATTCAACTGAGGCATTGTGATGCTATTTACACATTGACTATCTAGTCAGGTTATCTGTTAACCCCAGAAATCCCACCCCCTCTAAATGCTATGTCAAAGATTTACCGCTAAATGACCTGACAGCATGGTATGAAGGCTCCAATCTCGTTCATCTAGGGGTAATTATATTAGTCTCCTAGGAGACCCAGCAAACTGACATCTCACATGAACTGGCCCAGCTTGCAGTGATTCATACCATATTCGTTAGATGTCGCTGTTGAGCGGTGACGAAGTTACGTGTCAATAACTAGTCGCATATTTGCCAGAAGTTTCGAATGGATTTGAATATGGAAGAGGCGTACCATTTCAAGCAAATTAAGTCATTGTATGAAGAGATTTGTTACATAACGTTTTATTTGCATATTATATTTTGTGGTACGTACTATTTCTTTTGGAAATGGAATAACTTTTATGACGAATCTAATAGGACCGAATTACGTGCTACACTCCAATTCACTCATGCATGTCGCATGCGCTGTTCGTAACGAATCTAAAATGGCGGCAAGTCGATGTTGGGTTGTGGTGCAACGACAAATCTCCTAGTTTTGTCCGCGTTTGCGAGATCCTGTACAAGCCAGAGCAACGGAAAGGTAAAGCACATACTCCAGTAGTTAAAGATATGTACATGGTGAGGATACGCACGTACTGTGGAGGGTTGATTTTCTGTTCTTTGTGAATGTTGACATCGACCCATATCAGGGATAACTTGACACAGTTCTAGTTCTGCCCAGGGATTTGTTTTGATTTCCGTAGGATGATGTACTGTCCCTTTGTCTGTGTCTGTAGTGCATACGCCAAAGCTTTACCAAGAATATGATGTGACAGTGGGTATGTTAGTTATTATCTTGTACTGCTGTTTGTAGTATCAAAATACATGTTTTAGCAGAAGCCATAATTTACAGTTCTAATCTCACGAAGAATTATTTTTTTGTTCCCTTGGCAGTTGAAAGAAAATCCCTTTTGCTTTGGAAAGATATTAGTAAAAAAAGAAAAAAGAAAATTGATTTACAACAGGCCAAACAACAAGCATACTAAGCTTGAAGCACAAACACTGTTACGGTCCGTTTGAAAATGTAATTTGGAAATTGGAACTGTCCAACAATATAACTTATGGTGGACATCAGTCAGAGATGCTTCTTTGTCACTGTCAGTGTCACCAAGTTTTTTCAGTCCATGTACACATTGAAATTCATATCTCTGGCAACCTTTGATAAGAAAATTTCTTAGATAAGAAGGTAATCTTACGATTCTTAGGCCAGTGAAGAGTAGGGCTCCTTGTTTTAAAACTATGCACCAGTTTGGAAGTTTGAATAGTCTACACAGCACAAGATTATGAATATGAGAAGGAAAATAATAAGTGGTAACATTCTTGTTGATTATTATGTGATGTCTGAAATTGTCAGCAGTTGGGTGAAAATCATAGATTAGATACAACAAAGATTTCTTCATAGTTTTAAATTATTGACAATTAATCCAAGAACCCTGCCAATTTCTTTTAGCAAGCCCAGCAGATCCTCCAAGGAAGAAGCACATCGACAGATTGTGAAGAAGAAACTTAGATAGTGCAGTTGGTCGCCATCATGGCGGACTCCCCGTGGCTTGTGTCGGTGGGCGGGGACGCCAAGGTGTGGGAAGTCCCCAGCATGGCCATGGTGTCAGAGTTCAACCCACATCAACAGGACATATCATCTGCCTGCTGGAGTCATAACAGTATCCTTCACCAGGGTTATGGCTAGTGCGAATTAGCGTAGGGGCCCCTACGCTATAATTTTGACCCCCTACGCTAAATTGCACCCCCTACGCTATAATTTTGACCCCCTACGCTAAATTTTCAATACAGCATAGGGGCATTGTGACAGTATTTCTTTGTTCAAGAATGCCAGATCAAATGTGAAAAATTACCAATCAAGGATACATTGTACATACCTTAGAAATAACATTTTTTCCCCTTTGTTTGGGTATCCCTCAAATGGCCCCTTTTTTAACTCAATTTTTTAAAAACTCCGTCCCATCCCCCCTCTCGATCACTTCGCTCCCTCGACTTGCAGCCAGTACACTACGCTAAAATTAAATCCTAGCTAGAACCCTGCTTCATTACTAGTACTACTGTGAATCATGACTTTTTCGCGGAACTTTTATATTCGCGGTTTTAGCAGTCACTTCTGTAGTACATGAATCATTACTACTGTGAACAAATAATTTGCTGACTTTCGTTTGCAACGTCTGCAGTGTCACACGAACATATGGTTCTGTGCACACCTCCATTTTTCTCAGAGTCAAACCACAAACTTTTGCTATTGCGAACATAAAGTGATTTACAGTATCCAGCACTCATACTCCCAACCTAAAAGATTTGGGCACACCAGTAAAAAAAAACAGAAAAATGCATGTTATGAACTTCAGAAGGTAGATCATCATCAGTAATATCAAACATTAATGTGCATGACATTGCAGGAATAATGTGTTTCTTTTACATAGAAAAAGTGGGAGTACCGTGATCAGAGAGCAAGAAAACAAATACATATATTATAAATTATATAATATAATATAACTCTCAAGCTTTGCAGTCCAATGCAATCTGGAGGACTGTTAGTGTCCAGCAAATTGTATGGTTTATCATTATTTTAACCTTGCCTTAGTGATTAATCTCATAATGATATGACAGAAAATTGATAACATTTTGCTAGTTTATGTGTTTCAATCTTTGCAAGCTGAAAAAAATCAATTGTGACATAGTAGTTTCCATGGATATCCATAGAATTGCATATTGGTACATGGACGTACTTACTAGTACCAGTAGTCTATGTCCGTGAACCAATATGCAATTCCATGGCAAGAAATATGTTTCTTAGGCCTAGGGAAAAAAATGTTGTGTTTCCTGTTTCTGACTGACCCAAGAAAAAACTGCCGACCCTAGCCTTTTTTTGTGGACCCCTGCAAGGGACATAATTTTTTTTTTATGATAGGCCTTTTCTAGCTTCATGATCTGACACCTGAGTGATGAAACGTTGTACAGTTGGTTTTCCAACATTGACATTGAAAATAAGACTAGTGATGCCATGCAAACTGTTAGACTGTATAAGTTGGATCACTTGAGACTGCGAAAGTCTAAAAAAAAAAAGAAGGTAAATCCCTACCTATCGACCGTAATTTTTTTCATGACTGAAACAGGAAACACAACTTTTTTTCCCTAAGCCTTATGACAGTTCCCTCCAGAGTAAATGAAAATCAGGGCTACTGGTCTGACCAGTGATGCATACCTAAACCCAATTTTAGGTTCAGGTCCGGATTCAAGTCCAGAGGTTTAGGTTCAGTTCCGGACTTGTAAGTCCGGACCTAAACCCATGGCATATACAAAATTGCATGTTGGCAACCCTGCAATGTTGTCTTGGTGAAACTTTGGCAACATAACATGGAGGCTGGTACTTGACGATGCCCGATGGCAATGTTTTCTTCGGTTTGCAGCAAAGATTTTACAATCTACGGAAGTATTTAGGTGGTTTGGAAAGAAAAGGGGTATGTGAAATGGTCTTTTATGGTAATAAGTCCGGACTCGGTTCTTGACTTTTAGGTTTTTTTGGACTTGAACCTAAACATTCTTACAAGTCCGGATCCAAGTCCAGTGAACCGGTATGCATCACTAGGTCTGACAGTCAGGGCACGTTGTAACCCCCAGCTATTGATTCAAGTGGTGGAAACTATGAATAAACCAGCCCAAGTATCAGGACTGACCCTGTCAACATGAGAAAATCATTTATCAGGCCAGATTGATGACTTTTCTGTGCAAATCAATGCACAGACAATCCCCACTGGGATTTGGTCGAGTTGTTTGTGTTCAATAATTGTAATTATGTCCCTTATTCCACATTTTAGAGTCCACAGAGGTTTCAAACCCACATAATGCCGGTAGTCTGAAATGAGAAAATGTAGAACATTCTGTTTTCGTTTACAGTACACTGTATTAGTATTTCTAGAGATTGGAGACCTCTTGATTCTGAGTTGAGCACTCTACCGCTACACCACACGACCCCACAATATATGTCCAGAAACATTATTATTAATAATTTTATTATTATTATTACATGGATTGGCATTTGCTAAAACACATGATGTTTATCAAACTTCAAAGATGGGAATGCAACAAGATTCCACACCAGCCATCATGATATGGCTTCCATTTTATGACTATCTCTGATTTGACATATTAAATCCAGTAGAAAGATGACAGTTGGAATGGGAAGGAAGATTGCTGTTTGAAAATAGACTCAGTAGTGCCAGGACATTACCGATGTAATGATTAAATGCTATCTCATCAATGCTATCTGTAGTGTATGAAATTAAAAGTACCAAATTAGTAGCTAGTAATTGGTATAATTATCTGTAGTAGATTTGATTTTATTAGATTTTGAATACATGTAATAGTAATGATGTTTCTGGACATGTCGTGTGGCATAACGGCAGAGTGCTTGACTCAGAATCAAAAGGTCCTGGGTTCGAGTCCTGACATGCCACCTGTCTTTTGCCCTTGGGAAAGGCACTTGACATGACTTTCCTCACTTAATTCAAGTGAAAATGAGTATTGTCTGTCCTGTATTTGTTTCTATGTGTGGAACACAACACCAGCAACAGCTGCCTTTGTCCCACGTGTAATGTATTGTTACAATTTCAATAAATCAAATCAAATCATATGTTGTTATGAATGTCAGCATGTTTTATGTGACCTTGACCCTTCCCCCAGACCAGTTCATGGCCACAGCCTCTACTGCAGGAGACAAGGTGGTACTGACTTCTGTCAAGAGGGGAGCGGCACACAATATTGCTGAGTACGCTGTCGGGGTAAGTGTGGTATTCATACTGGTGCACATACTAGCTACTGAGTATCTAATACCAGCTCAAGAAATAATACTAGTAGTCATGCCTTCAAGTAACAGAGTTATGAACCAAGGATTGAGGTATTTTCCAGTGTTCTGCAATATTGCAGAATGTCAAATTTTTCTTATCTCAAATACTTTCCACAAATACACACTTATATAAGTCCAGATCTAAACACATGACGTATATAAAATTTCATGTTGGCAAACGTTTTACATGCAATTTGGAAAAAAAAATACTATTAATAGTATTATATTATAAAGTCACTACTCACTAGTATATTCTGCCAACACCATTGTACCCCAAGCCTTCATTTTCCTTCTGCAGTATTGAAAATGTCCCTGCAAAATGCAGACTGAAGGTGGGTATTTCTAACACTGTCATGTTTTCCCAGGAGAGTCAGACATGTGTTGCCTTCCACTCTACCTCTCGGTACCTACTGACAGGAGGAAAGGATGGAACCATCCATATCTTTGACATCAAAACAAAGAAAGTCAAGAAGCAATACAAGGTACTCCTCAAAGTCTTTATATATAACTGGAATACATACAGAACAACAGTCATACCTTCAAAAGTTATCAACCAAGAATTGAGGTGTTAAAAATCTTGTTTTTCCTGGAACTAATAATCGTAGAGTGGAACTCGCTGCCACCAAGTACAGTAGGAGCATAATCACTAGATAGCTTTAATAGAGTTAGATGTGCAAAGGTTAGGTGTAATAGGTTGTACGGTGTACTATAGCCAGCTGCCCGTGAAGCTGGCATATTATAGAGAAGGGCAGTTATACTGGCTATGCAGATACATAATATATAGTAGATACAGATACAGTCCAAAAGTATGTGCCTCAAAGTTACATTCCTAACTGTGAAACAATCAAGACACAAGATGTAATCTTAGTTACCACTATGTGTTTAGAGAAAGAGTAAAAGATACGTTTAGTATGAGTCTATGACAATGACTGAATGAGTGGGTTTTGTTTCCAGGGTCACAGTGATGCCATAACCTGTGTCACGTTCAACTGGAACGACACGTACATTGCCTCCGGCTCCGTCAACGGTAACATCGTTCTGCACAACGTCACAACCAATCAGGCCAGCAGTCCACTCAGCCTGCCTAAAATGGAGGTGTGTTGGAAAGTCAGGCATTATAGAAACTTGATTTGTAGTCCTGTTTATCAAATTTGTGAGTTCAATGTTTGCATGCAAATGCATGATGTTTACCTTTACATGAGGGCAGTCTAGCATAACAAACTACAGCTCTCACTGAAACACTATTCATGGTGACCATCCCCTCCAATTGTACTGCCACTTGCTACATAATGTAATCCAACACCAAAGGGTGTCTGCTACAGCACCAGTTACCATGGTAACACACTTTTCATGGACATGGTGACCATCCCCTCCAACTCTGTCCTACCGCTTGCTATATAATGTAATACAACACCAAAGGGTGTCTGCTACAGCACCAGTTACCGTGGTGACAGCCGTCTGGTCCAGGTCATTGACCTTATTTATTTGGAGTAGAAAAAGAAGATACAGCAAAAACAATATGTTTTCTTTCTGGAGAGGTAAACATAATGATGAAGATGTCAACAATGCTGTTTACTTCAATGCAAGTCCAGTAGTCTTGCTTTTTGATGGACCTACTGTACGTATTTTTTTTCCAGGCCATACGAGACATCCAGTACTCGTACTTCAAGCGTTCGCTGCTGGGTTCGGTGTCGGACAGTGGGACGGTGGTGCTGTGGGACACCAACACGAGAAGACCGCTCCACTCCTTCAAGGACGCGCACCACGCCCCGGCCACGGCGCTGACCTTCTCTCCCGTGAACGACATGCTGATGGCCACCGTGGGGCTGGACAAGAAGATCTGCTGCTATGATGTACAGGGGAAAAGGTGGGTGGACAGGGCTCCATATTACTACCATATGCAGGTTAGGCCTAGGAAGAAATGTGGTTCCTGTGTGCAGGGCTCAAAATACTGGGTGCATGTGCACCTTAGTACACCCAGATTTGGAGCTGTGCACCCAATCTATTTCTCTGGGTGCACCCAAATATTGTTGTAGGTTTACATTTTAGATGCTAAATCAGCCTAAATGTATAGAAGTATACAACATATTCTTAACATCTAAGTGTCAGAAAAATAATATAATCATTGTTATAGTACTTTTCTGTCTGTCTGTCTCTGTCTGTCTGTCTTCTGTTTGTCTGTCTGTCTGTCTGGATGGATGGACGGATGGACAGACAGACGGATGGACAGACGGACGGATAGATAGATGAATGATTTTGACAGCCAAAACAAAAAAAATAAATAAAATACAATGCAGGTGTACAGAACTGAGATGTCAAATCATTGAAGCAAATAAACACACTTTGATCTTGTATGAAATTCTTCTTCCCTTGTGTTTGTCAGTATCGTGAGAACGATGACGGCCGAGTCACCGCTAACGGCGGTGGACCTGATGTACGACGGCGCCACGCTGGTGGTGGGGTCCACGCGAGGGAAGGTTTACCTGTACGACCTGCGAGCCGGCACCACGCCACAGAAGGTCACGCAAGCACACAAGACCTCCGTCAAATGTCTCAAGTTCAAGTTCCAGATGGCACAGAAGGTGGGAAAAATATACACTAGCTCCCAAAAATAATTTCATCAGGTTGGTAGAACATGCCATGGATATTGAGATTTTCTTGTTCCTACTTTGCTTACATTTCGATGTCTAAGGAAGCTCTGGGGAAGATGTCTGATAGATATCGAAACGTAAGCAAGGTAGATAGAGTACCTGGTTGTGTACGAGAAAATCTCAACATCCCATATGCTAGCTCTCACTCTTATGCAGTGTTCTAGCCAGTATCTGCCTTTTCGTCATTTGTTGACTTTTGCTGCTCATGACAGAGAAATATTTTGCCCAATCCATCATCTTTGACAGACAAAAATTGTCATGTAAAGATATGGAAAGAGATGTCATTGAACTAAGCTTAGTCTACCAGCAAAATTCGCTTTTAAGATGAGAGGGTCAAGATTTCAAAATTTTCCTGGAGAAGATGCCCTAGGACCCCTCTTTGGGATTGTCAGGCACTCTGAATGATATTACGTCAAACAAAATTGAAATGTCAGAAAAAAATTCAAATTTCAGGCTGAAACAGGGAGAAGTGCTTCCCAGTCGTCCACTAAGAAATCTGTGCAGAAGTCGACCTCTCACCCCAACATCAGGTCTGGCAGTGCTCGAGCCAGGGCAGAGGCACGCCCTCCTAAAGGTACCGTGGGACGTTTTAGTATCTCAGTGATATTCTGGCTTAGGAAAAAAATATTATGTTTCCTGTTCCTGAAAAATTATTCTCTTTTTAGACTTTGGTGATCTCTGAAGTGATCCAATACGGTTTAACAAAGTAAAACATGCATGAGGACACCTATAATTTCAATGTCAATGTTGGAGAACCAATTGTACAACACTTCATCACTCAGGTGTCAGATCAGTGAGCTCCGTTGGAGCTAGAAAAGGTTGATCGAAAAATTTTGTCCCTTGCAGGGTTCCACACTAAAAAAGGCAAGGGTCTGCAGTTTTTTCTAGAGATGGGAAACAGGAAACAACATTTTTTTCTTCGCTTCAGTGCTGTATGTGTTGGAATGTAATTATTATCATCATTTCTGACCAGGAATGTCACCTCTGATAAATATCTGTTAGCGTGCATAGTCTAGTGATTAGCGACCCTGCCTCTGGACCTAGAGGTTGGGAGTTCGAATCCCGGCTGCTGTCGCTCACCCAACATGCACTGTACTGGAAAGGTTCTTAGTACCTAGGACGGGATGTTTAACTGTTGTCCACTGTTCATTGTGTTCTTGTTAAAAGAGCTAGGGGAATTTCCTGGTACAATGAACCTGTAAATACTGTACATAGCGTCTGTCTTCTCTGTCACGACCAGTGGGAGATTAGCTCTTCAGTGAGCTAGCACTAGATCGAGATCGCTTCCTTTTTATCTCTGAAGGTCCAGCAAAACGTATTCAATAGATCTACACTTGTGCCAAATAATTTTCCCTTTTCATATTCAGGCAAGAACATTCAGCAGTTTAACAACAATCCCATCTGCCCATATTTTCCTTCGAAATATATCTCCCAAACGACCAGACGTTCCCTCTCCTATATTATCCCCATCTCGCTGCTCTGTTTGGGTTTTTAATTAGAAGAGGCCTCAAGGGAGGAAGGCAGGAAATGGTCTTCATTTTTGAGGCACGTTTAACCTCCAATTAGTATCCGATTACTGGGGAGGATGAAATTGATTGGAACAGATGATATTTGACAGCCGAGCAGAGACAGATTCCCCCCACACAGACTGATTGAAAATATCTCCATCCTGCCTTGAATGAGTTAGGGCTGGAAATCCAACCCACGCATGCAGGTTAGTACAGGTAGAATTGGGGCTGTGCAGGTATTTCTGATGTCTACCTGCACCTAACCTGCACTGGGCCATGTACTGGGTATATACAGGTTAGTGCAGGTAAAATTGGAGCTGTGCAGGTATTTCTGATGTCTACCTGCACCTAACCTGCACTGGTCCATGTACTGGGTATATGCTGGTTAGTGCAGGTAAAATTGGAGCCGTGCAGGTTTTTTTTATGTCTACCTGTACATAACCTGCACTGGTCCATGTACTGGGTATATGCTGGTTAGTGCAGATAAAATTGGAGCTGTGCAGGTACATTTCTGATGTCTACCTGCACTGGTCCATGTACTGGGTATATGCAGGTTTGTGCAGGTAAAATTGGAGCTGTACAGGTCTGATGTCTACCTGCACCTAATTATAACCTGCACTAGGGCATACACTAGGTTTATATACAAATGTAGGTGTATGTGGAATTTTTGTTTGCTGTATTGTCTGTTACAACCTTAGAAGTACTATAAAAGAAATAATGTCAATGGTTTCTGATCAGTTTTTTCTGTCTTCATTGACATATCAACATTGCAGACATAAAAATGTTGCTTGAATGACATTGATATTTACAAAGTTAAGAATGGACACATATATATACATGAACTGATAAACTGTACATCCCAGACATTTCTAGTATCATTATCTTGTGCCAGATTTTACATTTTTTGTGCAGTCTGATTATAGAGTCTGATGGACTGTTGTAGGAAAGAGCTCTGAAGTATTTTTGTTCCAAATTCTGGGTGGTGCAGGTAATTTTCAATGTTGCCCACTCAAGGATTTCTAGCCCCGAGATAGAAATGATATGATAGATGATGATGTATTAGTGCTGAGTATGTGTAACCTTTGGGCCGTCTTCCCACGCGGTGTGCCAGTGACGACTCTTAGATCTAATTCCGCCTGTCAGCCAATGGGAGCAATCCGTGGGCTAACTTCGTTACCATCGAGACTCCCTGTCTATGCTGCCTGCTGTAGCTTCCATGTCGGAGGTTGAGGCTTTGAGGAAAAGAAGTGGGCGTGGCAAACATTTGTACAAGCTTAGACCCCTCTATGATTGCCGGGACGAACCATTTTTTGGTGGGGGTAAGAGGGGGATTTTAAAATTACCAATATTGTTGGTGTGCCCCTTTTCTCTGTGGGCCCCACATTTATATATAGCTTGCTGCTCTCAAGTTTAAGTACAAGATCACACCCAAGTGACCCAACCCTTCCTCCCCCTTGGGAAATATTGGTATACTCTCCCTGGTTGTCAAAGATGGCAAGAGATAATGTGGAAGTGCGTAGCCTGTTCTGTCTGCATCCCTTCAAGTGCTTCTGCGGGCTTTTCGTACGGAAAAGCCGGGATGTACCCGAGGAAATTGTGCCCGTGTACAAGTCTACAGTCCATAGCAGGACAGTGGGGACTGAGACACCAGATGGTGGGACATGTACAGGTACAGCACCTAAGAGAGTTGTTTTCTACATAGATGTCGCCTATGTGACGTCACTACAGATATTCAATTAGTGTACATATTAATACAGGCACTACCGAGGAGAGATATGGAGAATTATGATATAAGAATGGAGATGGAAAACCTGTACAACTCAGCTTCTGCGTATATGTATAATTTATCAAATAGCGAGGCTGGCACTAAGGTATTGGGTATAATTTGCAAGAGTGCTTTTACAACTATGACCTGCTGGTCTAAGCTAGATGGTAGATGATAAGTTCAAACGTAGAACATGATTCCATACATAGAATCTTACATAGGGAACTGTTGTACAGTATTATGTCCAATTTGCTATTGATTGTTAAGTTGTAGTAGACAATCAGTCTTTAGATTGATTGATGTGCTATGCCTACAGTGATGTTTTTTTTGGCACATGGCCCACCAGACTGTAGTAGAGGACAGGATAGAAGCCTTTTACTTGAGATATGCCATGGGTTAGCAGATAATTATTCTTACCGAAGGAAAACATATTGTTTTTGCTCAGTTTCCTCTTCTTCTTCCATTCCAAACACTGACCTCTGACCTGGTCAGCTGGTGTTGGGTTACATAATGTTGCAATTTTATAGTAGTTTACTTTACTTTATTCATAAAAATCAACGTAGCAGTAGTACATGGTACAACTGAATTGTGTTGACCTAACAACAAATAAACACGAGTCAAATTAGCGAAAGTACATTAGAGACATCACAACACTTACATTATACACAGAGGCACTAAGCCTTCATTTGGCTGTTGTATAGACGGATTGAGTAATGTAAGAATGAATTATACAGTCTGTTTGTTCTAGCCTTGGGTACCCTGATCCCCCCCGAGTTCCTGAGAGACATTCCCGTTCCTGCTGGCCTCACGTCCGGTACCAAGTCATGCAGTGGATGCTCCGGGTTTAGCATGTTTTTGAGCAGTTTAACTGCCGCCAGTTCACGGCGTTCCCTAAGAGTGGGAAGGACAGGGACACTCCTCCTCCCACCAAGAGAGATTATCCTTAGGGCCCTCCTCTGTACTTTCTCGATCGCTTGGTCCTGTTGTTTGCTACAACCAACAAGTAGCACATGGCCATACTCAAGTACCGGCCTAACCAGGGCTAAGTAAACCTGTATGAGGTCTGAGACGCTCATCCCTTGTTTAGTGAGGAGTCTGAGGTGATGTAGTCTCCGTGAAGCTTTGGTCACCATTGCGTTGACTTGCTCGTTGAAGGTTAAGCCTTGGTCAAGAATGAACCCAAGACCCTTGGCTGAGCTAACAACTGGTACTGGTGCTCCCCCCAGGGTTAATGTAGGTGGCTCAGGGACACTTCTGCAGAAGCAGATTTGGAGTAGCTGACTCTTTCCGCCATTGAGAGTCATCCTGTGTTCACTGGCCCAAGAGTCGAGATTAGATGTTTCCTCTTCGACTGATCTGTCATCATCTGCCTTGAGTGCCAACAATGTCCTGGACAACGTGACGTCATCGGCGTACCCGACATTCATAGTATCCGGGTGGACAGTTCTCCTGGTGCTCATAAACAGCAGAAACAAGTATGGGGAAATGACCCCACCCTGAGGTACCCCAGATGTAAGAGTACGCCAGGAGCTCGTCTCCCCGTTTGCAACTACTCTCTGCTGTCTGTCCTTCAGGTAGTTATGAATCCATGCTGACATTCCCGAACTTAACTGGAGGTTGATCACAGTCTGGAGGAGCAGGGCGTGGTCAACACGGTCGAAAGCCTTACTCATATCTGCGAATACTGCACGGATCAAGACTGGCTTTTGGGAGTCCAACGCACTCATCCACGTGTGAACCATGCGCACCAGGGCAATTGTGGTAGACGACCCCCGCAAGTATGCGTATTGGTCCTTGATAACTGCACGCAAGGTAGGTAATAGTCTTTTCAGGACACACTTTTCCAGCAATTTAGCCAGGACCGGAAGAAGAGACACTGGCCTCATGTTGCTAACCTCGGATGAACCAGCAGACTTGGGCACAGGGATGACATTGGCCGACTTCCAGATGACTGGTACTATGCCCTCACGGTATGAGGCGTTGAACACGTGAGTAACTACTGGGGCCAGGTCCTCTGCAAACTCCTTCAAAACCCAAGTGGGGAGGTTGTCTGGACCGCAGGACTTCCTGGGGTTTGTGGCTTTCAGTAGCACCTTAACTTCTCCGATGGAGCATAGGTCAGGACTTGACCGAGTGAGTGGTAACGGGAACATGTTGAGACACTGACTCACGCACCAGGCATCAGCAAAGTGTTGGCTGATCTTCTCTGCCACATGCCCCTCATCCTGCTCATGTGTGGTAACGCGTGTGCCAGATCCATGTGATCTTCCAAGTTCTTTATTGATACACGACCACCATTTGTGGGGGCTTTCACTCTTGAGATGTTGAATGTGGTTACGATAGTACCAGTTTTTTGCTTGTCTAACCACAGTTTTTGCCTTGTTTCTGAGACTCCTCCATAGCGGTGATTTCCCATGCCGCTTGAACTCGGCTTGTCTGCTTTCAATAGCCCGTTGAACCCTTTTTGTCATCCAGTTCTTGTCATTTGTCTGCACAGTCTTTAACCTGACAGGGAAGTGAGAGTCAACAAGTGACATGACAATGGAGTAGAACTTGTCGACCTTGTCCTCAACTATTGGTGCTTCGAGCACAGCAGACCAGTCCTGCATGGCTAAGGCCACGGCAAAGTCTCTCTTCATGGAGTATTTGATCACTCGACGGGGGAGTTTAACAGATGACTGCTTTGCTACCTGAGCTCCCGACTGGATTATGACACAGGCATGGTCACTGTTCCCAATAGGAGGTATAATCCGCGGTGAGGAGTAGTGTTGCGCAAGGTTAGTAATAATAATGTCCAGGGTAGCTGAGCCCCTCGTAGGCTGCTTGACTATCTGCTTCAGTTCAGGATGGGCCGCCAATAACGGTCGAAGAGGGAGGCCATTGAAGTCCCCGCAAAGCAGAAGCCCAGCTTGGGGTTGATGACTGCAAATATGATCGATTGTGGTGATAAGGTGGTCGGTTATCTCTTTAATCCCTTCTTTGTTGTTTCTGTTTGGTGGATGATACACTACCCCAAGAATAATCACAGGGACAGTTCTGGGAAGCCAATGTGGACGCAGTTGGACCCACATCACCTCAAGCTCCTTGTTTTCCAGGTCAAAGAGTCTACGAGTAGGGATGTCATCTACAATGAAAGGAGCCAATCCACCCCCCCTCTGTCCTTGCCTATCCCTCCTAAACAAATGGTAGCCAGACATGGACATAACATTATCAGGGATGTCATCGGTAGCCCAAGTTTCCGTAATACAAGCTATTTGAACAGAGTAATTCTCTAGACTGGCCTCTAATTCAAACTTCTTATTCATAAAGGATCTAATATTTGTCAACATTAATGTAGGTAACAGTTTGCATATCACATTTGTGTTGTTGCCCTGTGCTGTACATACAGTAGCTACTGGTCTAAGTACCCTGTCCCTTTTTAGCTCTCTTTTACTGCCGTTACCATTCCCGACAATTGTTTTGATCCGGCAAAGCTTTTCTTTTCTTTTTATCCCTCCCCGACTACCCCTACGATTCCACTTGGTTCGGTCGATATTTCCAAAAGGTCTAACACGGGCTGGGAAACACATTTTGATTTGTGGGTTTAAACGTTAGCTACTTAGAACAATCAAGTCACAGCTGTTCCGCACTAAACAACAGCAAAGACAGACTACAAGTCAAAGACTAAAACACTGACAAAAATAACAGCAGCAGCCGCTGACCCGGCGCTAAAACACGTTACATTTATAGTCACATGCAAATTACCCTAAATTATTGGCATTATCACATCCAATTACATGATATCGAACTATAGTCAAATTGCACTGCAGTAACTAAAAGCTAAGTAATAATCTAGAGCTAGAGGAGAGGCATCAGAGGTCGGAAGAATGGCGCCCTCCCCACTATTAGAACATATGATAACCAGTGGGTCTTATAAACACTCTAAAACTAAAAATGTCGTCAAAATGACACCAACAATAAGTTAACAAAACTGAAAGCAATTAATCCATCATGTTAAGATAAATGGATGGTTTGTTTTAGGAGGATTTAGACTCTGTCACCATATATATGTCTGTGTTCAAGTATTAACAGAGCAGACCATATGCAAAGGTAAACATTATCCATTTGCTTTGCAAATGTTACCTTTCTAGTTTTATTGTTTGAATTTTCAAATGACTCTTATGATAACAGCACCAAACATCATACTATATATTCATAGTTGACATACATGTACCTCTAATCATTAAAAGATGTAGTATGGTAGTAGTTATACAATGTTACTTACAGTAGTACATGTAATATCCAGTCATAGAGGGTGCAGGTCTCAAAATACTTTTTTCTGCATACCTGCACTGGTGCAGGTAACATTGAGAATTACCTGCACCAGACAAATTTTACCTGCACCACTGACTTTGGAAAGTATGGGTCATACTATAGAAAAACTGTTCAGAAACCATTGCCATTATTTCTTTTACACTTCACTCAAAAGGTAGGTGGTACCAGTTAGTACAAATTTAAGTCCACATACGCCTATATAAACCCAGTACATGGACAGGTAGACATCAGAAATACCTGCACAACTTCAATTTTACCTACACTAACTTGCATGTGCAGGTGGGATTTCCAGTGAATAGGTTATACTTTTAATTGGTCAAACGTATCATTTTTTTTCAACAGGCATCCCCCAGAGTGCCAGCACGGGCAGCATTTCTGATCAGGACAAGCAGGCAGTGCGTGTTCCCTCCAAGGACAACTTACAGAGTGAAGAAATCTTCTCCCCCATCAGAGATGGTACCTTCCAACATTCCTATTATATACATATATGAGCTAAGGCCACACCAATTTATTTTGTTGGTTCTTGGATTTTTTTAGAAAAAATTTGAAGCGACACGGCAAGAAAAAAATGAAAACAGGTCTAGGCATCCTATTATAGCCCAAATGCAACGATAGGAGCCAAAGAGTCAAAACAAAATGTTGGGTTCATATTTAAACAATGAATTTTGAATTGTTGATCAAACCACTGCATTGATAGATGGAAAAACTGTAAGAAAGTGACTTTCCTCAACTGTTGGAGGCAAAATATTGGCATTTTTGAGTTGATTCAGAATTTTTTTTTTTTGCAAATCAGAAAAAAATGAGGCAAATCCCAGAACCAACAAATTAAATTGGTGTGGCCTAATGAAGTAAAAGTTGGACTCCAATTGTTTCTCCTTTTATCTTGAATGCTAGCAGTGACAGCTGATATACATAACAATATTTTAACAGAGAAACATCACGTGAGTCAAGTATTGTAGCAGTGTATATCGACCACATCTTTTCTGGGGTTTAATAAAAATCTCCTGCCTAAAAACTAGATTTGGCAAATTTCTTTGCACACAAAAAATCCAGGTTATTCGCATTACCGTATATATGTTATCAGGCCCCACATGACTGGTTTGAATAACAGTACTGTCAACAGCTTTGATCATATCCAGTCCCATGTCTGCTTACTGTTTCTCCATGCTGTAGAGACATAGCCTGGCTGCTATCCATTTTGTAATGGGCTTTATCTAGCTGGCCCTAGTTTTTTTCAGGCTAGCGAGTGCAGTTACAAAATGGATGGCACCCAGGCTAGTGAGCACAAGGAGTCTGTTACAAACCAAATGTCACAAAGACATAGTAGATACAAGGTGTGCCGAAATTTGTGATGCAGTGACAAATAACTGTCCTGGTATGTTTCAATGTGTTTGTCAAATGTATCACTATCAGGACGTTGTTGTTTTTGTTTACTAGCATCGTCCGGGACTGGAGATGCTTCTAACCAGCCACGCCCTCAGTTGGAGGGAAAAGCTGACATAAAGGCAGATCCTGGCAATAATGGTATGTTTGTCTGTACATATGGCATCATATTACCTGTAGTGAGATTTAGATGTCAGAAGATACAGTATTGCAGTGTTCGAAATACCTGTCTGCAGTCTACAATCTGCAGATAGATTTTCAAGATTGCAGAAGAAAAATTGTACACTGATATTGTGACACTGGTATTGTGTTTTATTTTGTACATTACGGTATGTAAGTCCAGACCAATCCAATCATTTGACTGTTTAATTCAGCTCCTTCATCTTTTTCTGATTTGCTAAAAGGAAAAGAAAAAAGGTGGCCGTTTTACCAGTTAGTAGCTGAACTGGATCTTGTCTGTCAACATCTACAAGTAAGCTAGACCATGTGTAGGTAAACATGAAAGCAAATGTTACCTTTCTAAATTTTATTTATTATTTTGAGACCTAAGTACTATTTCCATATCTTAGATGTCACTGAATGTCATTTCAACTGTAGGAATAGGAGTATTCTCCCCTCTGGGAGACAACATGACCACACCAGTAGCTGCAGTAAGAAGACATCCCATTGGCTCAGTGGACACCCCCGAGGGAGCCTCCTTCCTTTCCCGACCAATGGCAGGTGGCGAGAGCAGCGAGTCTGAGCCAGATGCCAGGTTTTCAGCACCAAAGCCATCATTTGTGTCACAAATCCCAACTCTGGTGAGAGGCTGTTCCTTATTGGCTACTTTGTTCTGAACATATTTATGTTCTTTGTAAATATCAGTTACAGTCACATGTACATAACTCTTATGTGTACGCCTTGTCCTAGTAAACAACATTGTACAGTGATCATTTCAACAGTAATTCTAACATCACAGTAACAGTAACAGCATTGCAAGTGGGTGTTATGAGTGCACTGTCTCCTTGATTCTCACAATATTCCTATCACTGTCATTCCTATCAATGTCTGCCTGTGTGTAGTCCAGTGGTTAGGGACTCTTGAACATCATAGAGGTTGGGAGTTCGAATCCCGCTGTTGTTGCTCACCCGACATGCACCGGCTACTGTTCATTGTGCTTATCGAAAAGAGCTAGGGGAATTTCCCTGGTACAGTGAACCTGTAAATACTGTACATAGCGTCTGGTCCCTGACAAAACCAGTGGAAGAATAGCTCTCAAGTGAGCTAAAACTGGACTGAGATCACTCTCACTGTGTTTCTCTATGTAAGTGTACTCACTGCTGGTTATCCTTTGTAGACTTCCCACGCTTGTGTTCTGTAGGTACATGAAACTTAAGGCATTTTTCCTGTACACCATTCATAATGTTTTTGTCCAACAACCAAAAATGCTCAAGAGACACAGGAGATAAAGTTTGAACACAGCAGTTTGTGATTCTTTCCGTATGAAATGAAAAATGAACACAAGCTCATTGCAAATCATACATATGAGTTGGAATGTTTCACAACTTTCAGACCCACATTCGAGTAGAATATGATTATGGGGATTGTTCCTGACTACAAAAGTGATGGGGGAAACTAGCTCCCATTTCTATTATGTCGTAACTATAAACTGTAATTTCACTTACCCAAATTTTCGACTCACAATTCTTGGACAAAGACTGGAGTTATACAGTTGAAAATTTGTGTAAGTCCAATATCTTGTGTTGGAAATTACAGTACAAATTTACGGCATAATTACATCTACCAACACAGATGAACTTTCAAGATACATTGTAGCCTTAGCTCGTGCTTTCCAATGTCTTTCCTACCACGTTTGTCACCCACGAAGTATGGCTTACAGTACTAACCCTGTAGTCCCTCCCCAGCACTGCTCTGTCTGTACCTCACCTGTGCATGTCTATCTTCTCTACTGTACCTCCACGCTAACTCTCTAGGGGAGAAGGTTCATGCCATGGAAGTGGAGGAAGCGAGTGAGTACTCACACCTCGTGGCATGTCAGGCTATCTTTACCCTCTAATTCTGGTGATTTCCTAGTAGTAGTAGCAATAGTAGTAGCAGTAGTAGTAGCAGTAGTAGACCCGATAATAGCAGTAATAGTAGTAGTAGTAGTAGTAGTAGTAGTAGTAGTAGTAGTAGAAGTAGCAGTAGTAATAGCAGTAGCAGAAGTAGTAGTAATAGTAGTAGTAGTGGCAGTAACAGTAGTAGTAGCAGTAGCTGTAGAAGTACTGGTAGTAGCAGTAATATAAGTAGTAGTAGCAGTAGTGGCATTAGTAGTAGTATTAGTAGTAGTAGTAGCAGTAGTAGTAGCAGCAGTACCAGCAGTAGCAGTAGTGGTAGTAGCAGTAGTAGTAGTGGTAGTAGTAGTAGTAGTAGTAGTAGTAGTATCCAGTCTTTGATTATACTGTTGCAGGGTTCCCTGATACAAGTGGCCAGCAGCCAGCTTTTCCTCCATTTAAAAAATGAAATAAGATAATACAGAAGATTTGTAAAGGTAACATTTTTCCTCTTTTTGCAGCCATCCAACCTGACAACATCTACTAGCAGCGACAGTGAGCCTGCCCTGGGAATGAGACCAGCAGCGTCGGGCGCTCTCAGTTCCAGGAGACCCACCAGCCCGGGAGAGGCCAAAATTGCAGAGAGGGGTAAAATCCACAAATACCACTAGACATCTAACTCTGTCACCCAAAAATAACACGTTAAGTTAAGATAGAATTCTTATTTTGTGTTTTGTGTAGCAGAACTGAAATGGCTGTTTTCTTCTCTTTACTACTAACCACATATCTACCCTTGTCTTTACCACCTGTCCACCCTTTCTCTCTCCCATCTGAAGGCCATGTCAGTAGAAGAGGAAACATGGAAGTCTTGAAAACAGGGCACAGAGGTTAGCATATGGTGCTCACGTGTACTTTTCTGAATAGACAAAGTTGTATGAGGAACCTTGTTTTATTTTGTCCTTGGGGTAGCTAGCATGGTGTAAGGTATGTCATTTATACACAGCTGAAAACCTGGTGGTACGAAAACTGTACGCATGAGCATATGAAAAGTGTGTACATGTATGTTGAATTTTCCCCCAAATCAGCCTGCTTTGACGTATTTCAAGAATGTTTGTTCCTATCACCTTGAGGGCTGGCGTACGATCTGCACGTATATTCTAGATGTACGCCAAAGCAGGCTGGTTTACATGCAAGAAAAAATCGTTGCAATCAGTTTCGGTAACCGTTGCAGGTGTACACGGTTTTTCATTGACTGTGTATAAATTGGGTTTGCATATAGTTTGCACCTGGTGGTAGTCATAGAATCCTAAGCAGGTGAGGGATGGAACTAGTTGTATAAAAAAGAAAACCATGATATTGTATTTTCTACCAAGAACCTGATTTTTTGGAAGACACAAGGCCACACCAATTAAATTTGTTGGTTCTCGGATTTGCCTCTTCATTTTTTTCTGATTTATAAAAAAAAAAAGATTCTGGTTCTGAATTAACTAAAAAATGCTCATATTTTGCCCCCAACAGTTGAGGAAAGTTCTCTTTTCTTCCTAGTTACAGTATTACAGTTTTTCCATCTATCAATGCAGTGGTTTGATTAAAAGTTCAAAATTCATTGTTGAATATTAACGCAGCCTTTTGTGTTGACTTCATGGCTCCTATCGTAGCATTTGGGGCTATATTAGGATGCCTAGACCTGTTTTTTTTCCCCTGTTGTTTCATATTTTTTCTGAAAAAATCAGAGAACCAACAAATTAAATTGGTGTGTCCTAACATTCTATGATTTCCATTTACCAGTGGTGTGTTTTGTACCCCAGCAGGAGTTCCCATCACCAACCCGGCCATGCAGTCAGCTCACCAGTCTGTGGCCCAGCCTGTCCCCCAGCCATCCATCCCCCCCAGCCTGGCCAACTCTCCGTCCGACCCCGACCTGAAGGGAGCGGCCGCCCCACCCCTCCCCCCGCCCAGCGCCCCAGCCCCAGGGCTGGGCATCACCACCCTGCCGGGATCTCCTGCCAGGAGGGTGGGGTCTCCTGCACCAGGGTCACCAGGTAGGTAGAACATTATTCTATCTTATTTATTACCTGCACCAAGAAGGTTATGTTCTCAGCAGCATTTGTGTGTGTCTGTCTGTCTGTAAAAACGATAACTTGAAAATGCTTAGACGGATTGTCTTGATATTTGGTAGGTGGATACATGTAGTTCTTGATTTTTTTTTCAAGTCATTCTATGGAACATTAGCCCCTATGATATAACCCCACGTGATACATATAGAATACTACACAGTGTATTCCGTACCGCCCGTGGTACCAGCCCAACCACGGGTTGGATCGGCCGAAGGGAGGTCCGATCCGCAGGAGGGCTGGGACCGAGGGTGATGCGGAATACACTGTGTGGTATTCTATTTATGTCATACCCACCTTAGAAAACAGACATTTCAATGCAAAATGTGCCAGAATTTGGTACAAATGTATATCTAAACAATAAGTGTAACAGCGTCAAAATCCAACATCCGAATTTGGTGTTCGAGGTTTCAAATGCGTCACACTCCATGCGCGCGAAAAGCGTTCAAATTATTCTATGGAGCATTTGGAAGCCCGGGTCGTACATGTAAAGAACCCGGGGCCGTACTGTTAGTTATCACACTGGCCGGAATACCCATACCAAACGTAACCACGGCCCAGGTATGACATAAAGCTAGTTATTACACGGGCCGGAAAACCCATGCGAGATGTTATTGCGGCCCAGGTATAACCTGAAAAGTTGCTCTTTGCGTAGTCTTAATATGCCCCTATTCCCACAGATGTGCGAGCCAAAGTGGGACTGCTGGGTGGAGCCTCCTCCAGTATGAACTCTGTACAGAGTCCTGAGTCTGAGGATGAAGTAGGAGACAGAGTCAAGAGAAGGGTGGACGCCTCGGCCGCTCACTACGGGCTGCAGCCTTTCCAGATCGAGTTCATCAAGAACCTGGTGGAAGATGCCATGGATGAGTGCAGGTAGGGCTGAGATCTAAAATGTTTACAGAAAATTCTTGAAATTAATTCAGAAGATAGTTAGATACATGTGATTTCTTAGGCCATGTTCATTTGATTATATGGATGATATCTGCGCGCGCATGAATTTTTGTCCGTTTCCAAAAATATTTCGACCATACTGTAAATTGTACAAAGTAGCTGCAAAATGAGTAAATATATGCCGTAAATTGAAAAAAAATCTTATAACGATTCTTATGTTGCAGAATGCCAAAATTCATTCCAAAGGAAAATGTAAAAATGAAAATGAAGAGTCTATTAGATATATTCACCATGCCAAAAAAAGAATTGTTCAACCTTCATGACCACCTAGATTTCATAATGAAGGCAACATTTTTTTTTTTTTGCCAAACTTTTTTTTATTCGCACGCTCGCATCAGTTTTGGGGTTTCAAGAGGATGTCATCCATATGATCAAATCAACCTGGCCTTAGTGGAATTGTGCAGTGGATATTACCTTTTGAATTTTTGCCAAGGATAACAATTATTGTATTCTGTCATTTTTCTAGACTTGCTATGCACACAGACATTGTCAACCTGCAAGTTGAGATGCTGAGGCAATTCCAGATACAAAAGGTAGGGGGAGCACTTGTACAGCATCACTTTGGCTTAGAAAGTATCAGAAGTTAGTCATGCTGTGCTTGAATTATCAGTTTACTACATGTACTTTCTAGCTGCTTTACAATGTATGCTGATTGTACCAATCTATGACTTGATTTTTTTATTGGTCATCAGTCAACGAAAGTGCCAAAAATGTTCAATAATTACCCTCTTGGTAAGCCTTAAAAATGACTTTTGTAACCAAGCTTGACTGCAGTATATTTGTAAGCTTTCAAAGGTGTTCAGAAACAAGAGATTTTTTTTAAATCTCAAGATGTTTTTCAAAAATCTCGAAAGAAAAAAATCTCAAGAATTATCTCGAGATGTTTTGCTCAGTAATTGAAAAATGTTGAGATTTTCTAAAATTTTTTTCAATCTTCAAGATCTGAAAAATGAATGAAGTCTTGATATTGTTTCCAATGAATGATATGAAACAATTTTAATTTGTAATGTCATAATTTTTCCATCTTTTATCCCACAGAGCGAGGTGAACACCCTGTTGCAGAGGTACTCGGTGAACGAGTCCCTCGTTTCCGAGATCGAGAGATTACGAGAAGAAAACCGCAGACTGAAGACATACCATTAGAATCACCCCCCTCCCCCCCAAGTCGTGTGCAGTATATATATAAGAGGCTTGTCTCCGTTTGTGTGTCGCTTGCCATCCATGTAGAGACTATGCTATTTTTGTCTATACATATTTGTCAAAACAGTAGATAGGATGGTTAATTATAAACCAAGAAAGGTGAAAGAGGTCGGAAACTTTATGAAGGGTTATGAGAGAATCTAAGAGATCTGTGTATGATCTGAAACAACGGAAATTGAAATTTTTGTGTTACACTAAGGGAAAAGTGTTGTGGCATCGAGTGGCTAGGAGAGCAGACACGAGACCAAAAGGTTATGGGTTTGATTCCTAAAAATGCATTCCTGGCTAGACATTGTGTCCTTAGGAAAGGCACTTTCCTTTCTCTATCTAGGTGTAAAATGGGCACCTGACTTCGGTCGGGGAGGTAAAAGGCAGTAGAAGGAGAGAGAGTTGGGCTCTACCTTCCATTACTGTGACCTGGACAGAGAAGGCTATGGGACTACCTTTATCTTTTAAAAGAAAAATGACAAACAATGAACTGTGGATATGAAAGAAGTACATATAATATGAAAGTCACGAGAAAGAGTTATGCATGGATGCTCAGTTATGAATTCCTCAAAATCTGGGAACACTATTTGGAAAGCAAAAGAAGGGTGGAAATATGTTTTCATATACAAAAAATGTAGTCTACAAACTGTACAAGTCATGCATTATTGAATTGTCATAATGAAAAAGCCATAAAGACCTTTGTCAATATTTGATGGTTCAAAGTTTTATTTCGGTACTCAAACATACTAATGTACCTCAGAGGATCAAAGCTAGTCTTACATTCAGTACCGTGGTATTTTCTTTCATACTTGATTGTCACATTTGTTTCAAACCTTTTTAGAAATATGATTGAATTGACGTTCTGTTCTTGAGTCTAGACATATACATGTATGTGCATAGTCCAGAAACAGTATATTACCATATATGTTCTAAATTTTGAAAGTCCTGTGTAGGGGTGGGTACCAGTTCAGCTCAGAATAGCATGCAATAACCTAGTCAAAAACCTGAATGTTGTGAACTATTTCTTGTTTCGACTCTTTATAAAGTACAAAATATTGTCGACATTCCTGTCTAGACATCTTATCTGGTCATAAAGGATATAATTAAATCTAAATTAGCCTGAATTCATATGCTTGTGCACTGAAAATAACTAGGTATGTCATTCCAGTATGCCGGTACCAAAAAACATTTGACCTGTCTTGCTCTCCAAAATATGATGCAGTACTACTGTTACTATAATCAGGTTCAGGTCTGGGCCTGATTGTCTGGACTTGGATCTGGACTTGGACCTATATAATCAAACTGAACCGGTACCCACCCCTAGTCATGTGACATAATTGATTGTCCTCAATACTGGAAATGTTGTGGTTTATAGTAGTGCTTGTCACTTGCAAAACCCCTTGTGTAGGTTTGGTGAACAACTTTGATGACTTAATCATTATTCCCATAGACATGTAGTTGAATTCTGTTCAGAACCACATTTGTAAATGACCTCAGAAGTTGACTTGATAAATTTAATGTGGACATTGCTAATAAGTCACTTTGGACTGCCTCTGAACACTGGATAGAATAACATATCAGGGTTCGAAATACTTTTATTTCCAGAAGTTAGGTTCCTCATCAATATTATTACACCTGTATTAAGGTATCACTCATATTCTGGCCAAGGCAGGGCACTTTTTTCGTAAGCTAGGCCACTGTAAAAGTTAAAAAGATCGCTTTGTATATTGATGTATTGAAAAGAAAAGATAACTTGTATGTGGAGCAACCTAGCGTCTCCAGTAATTCTTGCACAGAAAACAAGAATGTCGACCGTGGGTATTTCGAACCCTGCATATTCATGATCATAGACTTTGGACAGTACAGAGTGCCATGATTGTATGTCTTTTACAAAATGTCTCTTGTGTCCCAGTTGCATCATACTTGGGTATGATTGCAGTAACAAATACTCAGATAACCTGGATGTAGTAAGGTAATGGCTATATATATAAAGACCACACGTGTACTACTACAATGTACTTTTGATATTACATTGCACTATGGTTACAGAAACCACTGCAATGCCTGGATATACATGTGTATGGGTTACTATTAGAAGATCGATCCTTGAAAGATGTGATCTACCACAATCCCACTCAAGAACATAATTACTGTGTAATTCTGAAAGGGAATTAATTGTAAATATACAGGGGACAAAGCTGGTTATTTCTTTATCCATGTAAGTATTGCGCGTTGTAAACAAACGAAATGGGTGGATGCCATCCATACCTGCACCATATGTACCTAGCTGTATTAAAATGAAAGGCATCTACATGAGTAGATACCGGTAGCACATCGGATGCAACCTTGTTGAACACAATGCTGTCCTTGAATGAGTACATGTAGCAAACTTACCAGTATATCTCACAATTATGATTTCCTTCATCGGTAACTAGAACACCAAGATTATACTGTGTAGTTCCCTTCATTTCAAAGACACTTGCAGTGTTTCAGTGCTAGCAAAAGGGTGGATTTTTAATGTGAAGATATGACCCAAGACTCAAAAGCTAACCAGTAGACGTACGCAACTTTTGTAAACCCTGTACATACTTTCAACTTGTACAAGAAACTGAGCTCAACTGCTATTATTGTAAATACATGATGGTAACGGAAAAAGTCTGAAATAAGTTATGAATCTACCTATCCAAAGTACAGTCCTCAGTTCAAGTGAAACAAATTGAATGCGTGTGCTTTGAAAAAAGAGCATAACATTGTAGAGTGAAGTTAGAGAAATTGTTCCATGCTGTAACAAATTTTGTATGAAACTAGACGTTAAAATATTTGCACTTTCCACTCATGTATTTACATTCCAAAGTCAATAGAAGCTTCATTGAAGTTGCAAATGGTTTGAGTGTTTTTATTTTTACAACAGTCCATACTGTGCTCTGGGTAACTACAAATTCCTAGACATTCTGTTGCCCCCTAAAATCATTTTAATTATGATTGTTCAGAGTATGAATCAGAACTTGTTTACAATAAAGCTATTCAATTCAAAATGTTGACTGTGTGATCTGAAACATCTCTCTCTCATTCAGTTTGAACAGGCTTAACCGGAAACCCGTCTTGAATGTATAGCATTTTGAATCATCCGCATTTTATTTCAATACCAGAAAATACACAAAGAAAGAAAAAGACAAAACTCACATGTGCAGCTATGATCTTTTTTCAATGTCTGCTATGATGTGTACAAAAACAGCAATCAGTCATAGTTTTTGCATAAAAATCATTGCAAAAACATTATGATTGGTGAAAACACATTTTGTTATGTAAAGGCCTCTAAAAGCTATTTTAATTCTAAGGATATAATTCCATCCTCTGGCTTCCCACATGTGATAGCTCAAGTGCACTTTGCAAAGCTGTTCTTGGCTGCAGTACTTTCAATCGTCAATAGATGGGGCAAATCTAAAGTTTTCCGCGACAGCAGCTCAGGTGAGCTTGACGACTAGTTTTGTGTTTCTTCACTCAAAACAACCTCCTTGCTCGGAAGCAGAAGTCAAAACTTCCCAGAGATGTAAGATGATATGCCCCACTATCAGCTAAAAATATTTCATTTCTTTCAAGCACCGAATCAGTGGCATTTTTCTTATCACATGGGAATGGCCCCTCTTAGGTCATTGTTACAAGGCATGATGGGAACCAGACATGCCGTATTACGCCTTTGAGTTGGCGATATCCTTGTGCCGACGTCCCAAAGTCAAATTAGTGCCAAAATGTTCTCTTTTCACGCGAGATTCGGTAACGTCCGTTTGGATTATTCTTCTCATAATTAATTTTATATTTAAGTGTTTGTCAAATCTACTGGTAATATCGAGGACTCTATCCATGTCCACAGGGAGGAATCTGACGATGAATATTCATCCGCAGTTTGAAACTGGGGTCCTCAGGTCGAGCCGGTGGTAGTCATATCAAGACCCCATAGGTGACCAAATAATCAAGTGTTACATTTCCAATTATTTCCAGAATTTTTGCTATCATTTATCCAATGGTATGTACTTGGAAGTGTAATATAATTATTTTTCGATTTGGTGTATCATATTAGATTTTTATGAACCTTTAGAGGCAGTTTTCTCAGTTTGCTATAGGTCTTCACCAGGCAGATATTTGGTGGTAGTATGGGAACTTCTTTAGTCCAGTTTGTGTTGTAGCAGGACGGCCGCCATATCTCAACCAACTGGGGCACGGCTCGACAGGGAAAGCGCAGTTTTCCCGCTGCACCTGGCGATTTCGCCGTTCAGCGTGGCCACATAAGGCCGCTCTGGTGGGTCCAAGCAGGTGTATACGTGGAATTTCCTCCGGATTACGAGAAACGGGTCACGTCGTTGTGCAACCCGGAAGTGACAAACTGCGTGGTGTCGTGTAGACCGAACGAACAGGACGTGTGGTCCAGATTTTTGAACTCGTCTGAAAAATCTTGCATTCATTCTCGCAGGTCAACCGGAATCCCTCTGACAACGTAACCGGAAGATGGAAGCTGGTGAGACTTTGTGATTCCGTTTGTGACAGGTGACTGTGGATTTTCTGACCTAACTTTTGCCGAGGTTTCAAACCCGAGTGCTTGGATATTTGGCATGTCGCCGTCGTTCTTTTGCACGAGTCCATTGGATTCCTTGTTGTGGTCGTATTTACCCGATGGCGGTCGGTAAAACGTTGGTGACCCCTGTCGCAGTCTTCCATTCCCTTTCTGGGCTTTCTGTCAGACTTGACAGTTCCTCTTCCCGCCCAGTGCGGGTCAGATGGGACCCACTATGAGCGGTGAGGCACGCGGGAAAACGGAGAACGGCTCAGGCGCTGGCCATGTCAAATCTAAACCAAGCCAGGGGTCGAGCAAGATCCCCAGGCCTACCAAGGTAGCGTCCAAGTCGTCCTCTCCAGTGGCACAAACTAGTGCTCCAGCCATTCCTTCCACGGATGGGAAGTTAACTTCAGGAGGGACGAGCCCCATCAACCCCAAAGCAATGAAGAAAAGTGTCAGCTTCGATATAGACGGAGAGAAGGAGATAACCAAGGGCAGCAATGGCAGTATGAAAAGTTTGAATGAAACTCCCGTTGTGGAGACAGAGGTAGAAGGAAAGGAAGTGGAAGCAGGCTTGGGGCCAGGCCAGGGTAGCAGTGAAAATTCTGTCAGGGATACCAAAGAAAGAACTACCCTCGAAAACGGCGAAAAGGTTTTAAATGGTGATGTTGATTCGGAAGCCAAGGAGAAACCCGGTTCTGATGCAGACACAAAGTTGAGTGCGAAGGAAAGCAAAGATGAAGATCCGGAGAAAGAAAAGGTAGATGGAGCTGTCGTAGATGCATCGAAGAGAGTATCAATAGAGGGACAAGAGGATGAGGTTGAAGATGTCAAAGCAATAGCCTCGTCCCCTTCGGCACGTTTTCTGAAGTTCGATTCCGAGGTCGGAAGAGGGTCCTTCAAAACTGTCTACAGAGGGCTGGACACTGAAACTGGAGTGGAGGTGGCCTGGTGCGAACTACAGGTAGGTGTGAATGACATAGGTGTGAAAAATAAAGTAGGGGTAATTAGGTTTGGCTTGCCACTAACAAGATCTCAAGGTGTTAGACAAGATTATGGTCATTAATGACAGAAGGGTGTAAAGTGGTAGTTGATAGGCTGATAATCCAGTCATTATCTCTTAATGCCTCCTATTCCTTATCAAGGAGGTTATAGTGAGGGGTGGTTTTTGGTTGAGAAACTTTGAAACTGTTCGCTTGAAGCTTAGTCCAGAATGAGATCCAGCTTTACTGCAACTACTGTTTCTCTTCGTGTAAGGCTGGTATGGGTTAAGCTAAACAAGGTTAGACCACAGGGTAGTGCTGTTTCCTTTGTAGGAGGATAAACAGTTTATCTAAACAAGGAGGAGAATAAATGTTGACCTTGTTCAACAGCCCTGGAAAGTAATGAGTGATCAGTTAGTTGTAAGGTCACATTACAGAAACTTTCAGAGTGAGGAACTATAGATTTTTCTCAGAAAACCTTTGTAATTGTATGTAATTCGACCTACAGATATTGGAAACATTGTTGATGTTTACTTCTGACTCCGAGCAACTTCAGACAACAGCTTTACCAAATATGGTACACTTTATCTAAGCAAAGTGGGAACAGTATTGACAGGTTTCTTGCCCCAGGGAAAACTTTGATCGGTTGTATACTAGTTTTTGAGACTATGTTTTGCCTCCATGGATTGATTGAGGAAATGCTGTGCAGGTGAATCACAGAAAGTGTCCTTAGGTAACACGGATGCATGCTGGTTTGTTGACATCTTGCTATCAGGTGTGGCAGCTGAGACAGGTAGTGACGCTGTGTGTAAAGGTCGTGTGGGAAGGTCGTGCTGAAGGGAAGTGAGGACACAGCGCACAGTGTCTCGCTGTTTAACACATTGCACCTGTGAAGGTTGCACCAACGTGTGCTGTACTGTCCTTGACAGCCCAAAGCCAAGTGGCAAAGGTTGGCATCCCCCTGCTGTCACACTGGTTATCTGAACCCCAACCTGTCACGACTTGTAAGAATGTCTACTTAGGAAATATTACATTATTCCCTTTGAAGTAGCAGAGCCCATTGTTGTCACACTGGTCTCTTCCCGGCTCCCACTGTGCTCGTATGTGAGAACATGTGAATCATGATGCGCTGTCACTATATGATGAATTACAGTGGTGGTGGAATGTGCTTCGGGGCTGCAATCATGTACTGAGGACACCAAACACTGGGCACCAAAATGAGACATTCTACCTTTAAAGTACTTGAAAATTCTTGTTTGTTTATTTGTTACGAAAAGGAAAAGGTAACCCAAGCCAACACAGATAAGTTGTGTCCTTGGTTTACACTGTAATGGTCTGTGTGTTTGAACCACCTGCCAACCTGTGCATGTCAGTCCCAAGGACACAGGCATTCTTCTTGGACAAGCCACTCTTGACTGCCAATCAATTAATTTCAGGAAAAATACTTTGATATGTTTGTAAACAATACACATCTCCAGCTAATGAAAAAGTAACTTAATTAAATTTGGTGAAATTTTTTCTGCAACAACATAGCATGCTTACACAACTGTAAAACTTCAATGAAGTAGAAGATTTGTCTTGACTGAAGCAGTACAAAATGGAACCAGATTTCTGTCTGAAAACAAAAGACAGAGGCTCTGCAGAATGAGGACGAGTTTGGTCATTGTAACATCTTATTTTCTAGCCCAATGATGGACAACGCTATGACCAACAAAGTAGCGGAATTGCTACCTGTAAAATAGCAAGCTGTTGTCACACTGGTCTGTTGCTAGAATGTTTTCAGTCGAAACAGTTATTCTTTCCACCCTTAACTCTGGTATTAAAGACCAAAATGAAGGAAAGGTATTATAAACAATGCAGAACTGGGGTATCAATACAAAGGGAAAACAGCTGACCTGAACAAAAGACAAAACAACAACAACAGAAACAATACCCTTCTCCTTTGTTTCTTCCAACTGACCGAGTTTTGAATCGGTAAAATGATAGGGAAGGACTTTCCGTTACTGTTTAAAGTGTTATAAACTGGTTCCCTTTATGAGTTTATGTGGACTAGAAAGGAAGTAGCACTGCTCAAAAGTAGACATAATATCATCAGTGTTTACACAACATGCAGGGCTCCATAGAATCAAATGCCTTTTCATACCCAACACTTGAGTGTCCTGCTTCTTGGAAGGAAAGAACCAAGAGTCAAAAGCACTTTGCTAAGTCTCCTTTGACAGAGGTGTGTTGTCCAAGTTGTATGCCATCTCATTTTGGCGACATTGGACAAATACATGTACGATGATGTACCTCAGGCTGCCACTTTGCAGCAAAAAAGAAAACAACCAAAAACGTAATACTCTTATCACCTTATCTCATCAAGACACGGTCTGCTCTACCTGTATACCCTGGAGAAGTAAACCTTAAGGTGTTTCATTGTTCGTTGACAACACCTGCCCACATCCTGTTCCTTGATAACATATTCTGTTTGCTTATATTTTTGACCACATCCTGTTTTATGAATGAGTTTTTCTTGTCCTGATGTTTTGTAGGGAGGGGTGCTCTCTGTTTGTTCCTGTGTGAACAAGGGTACTAGTAAATTAGTAGTATTCAAATATGCAACATATAGGTTGATTTTAATCTTTGAAAGTTTGAAAGAAACAGGTGCATGTGGAGTCAGTCTACTAAGGGTGGATGTACTAAAAGGTCATGACATTCAATTGCCATGATGGGAAGAGAAATGTCCTATAGCCTTGAAGTAAGGTATGGGCAGTTATTTCAAGAACGAGGAAATGTGGTATGCATGGCCACAGATGAATTTCATCTGGTTGCTGAAGCATAGCCATTTGCATGTCTACATATGATGTAGGACATATATAGTACCAATAGTAATTCATGATGTTTTTTTTCATGGAGTATGAAATTTTCCTTCAAGTATGACAACTGGAGCTCAGGCCCAAATCCCAGTAAGTTTAAGAACCCAACACACTTATAAAGAAGGGATGAACAAACTGGGGACATGCCCTCCCCTCACTGGATGACAAAACGATAGACTTTCAGTGACAAGCATGTGTAACATGTCCTTCCTTTCAAGCCATGGGCAAAGAAACGTGATAGAAATGTCTGGTAAATTATGGAGAAATTTTCTTCATAAATCATGACTTTACAACTTGATAGAGCTCTTGCTGATTCTTCAGTTGCATTTTGCTAGGAAGAATTTGGAAAGGAAAGCTAGTACACTGGTCTGTGTAGCTCCCAGTGGAGAGTGCTTGCCTGTGTATACCTGATTATCTGGTGTAATCAATTGGAAATAAGTTTAAACCCTATGGATTATACTTCAGCCCTGTTCACTTCTAGAACTTCAAGTAGATTTGACTTGTCCTAGAATACTCTTTACACCTTTTTATTCAGCATGGGGATTCCTGGCTAGGTTTGGATTCTTGCTAAATAACTTCTTGCCAAGAATCTGCCCTTCTTGTAAGGTGGAACTCAAAAGAACTTTCACAGAATCCAAAATGAAGGGGGGGGGGGGCATAATGCTATTCACTTTACTGTGGGCCATATACATGTAGTACTCTCTGGTTTTGTCAGCTGTACTGTAATCGTATTATGGACCAATAATTGTGTTAATTTTATCACAACGCACATGTCCAGCCCTGTCAATTTCCAACAAACCGTTCAGGACTGATTGGTAAGTGTGGAACTTACAAGCGAATTCAAATGAAATTCCGACTCAGACGAATGCCTCGAAGCTAGCGGTTGTATCTTCTTTCTCTGCTTATGTATGAGTGAGTCCATTCTTGCATTTATTATGTATGGCTAGCTACATATGTATTTCATAACAATAACTTGAATAAGGCAAAAACATTGGTAATACAAACACGTCGGCAGAACATACTGTGCCTGTACCAAATGTACCAAATTTCTCAAGGTTTTCGGTGTATAGTTGGTCAACGTTGCATCAGAATTTTGCACATTGCAGATGATATCTCCCCCGACACAACATTTGAAAAGTATAGACAGGATGTCATCTTTAAACACGCAAATACGACCTTAAATGAGACGTTCTGCTGAAGTACTATGCACAATACATTATGGGTTTTTACGCAGGCCAGGCACAATACATTCTGCCGAAGTGCTGGTTATACACATGTGTATGTTGAAGACTGGCCACTAGACTTGGGTCTCATGGGTGCAAATCTCGTCAACCTGTCACACGCCTTTCACCTGTCACATGCCTTTCACCTGTCATCTACCTTGCCATGATTGCCACCTGTAAATTGCCAGTTACCTGCAGAGTAAGCTAGAACCAGGTGTTGATGATGGCTTTTAGGCTACAAAATGGCCCCTTGCAACAGAATATAGTTGCAGGGTTTCGTCCTAACTTGTTATTATTTCAGCAGCAGATTGTTAGCCAATGCAATTGGAAATTTCTTTCCTACAGTGTGACTGAGTGTCCACGATGAATTTTGTTTATTTCTACCTGTACATTAATCATTTCAACAAACAACAAAGAATAGACAAGATACATACCATCTACAAAGGAATGTGATTTCGCATCAACATAGCAGATTACCAAATACTGAAATAGCAAGGCATGGGCATTTCGGGCTTCTTGACTCCAAGACTTAGTAATAAGATACTCATCCGTACCTGTTAAGACGTTATTCTTAATCTATAGTGTTATACATACACTATACATTGGACTTTGTGACCATATGGTATTATGATTTATGTCATTAATACAATGTGAATGCGGAACGCAGCTGACTTATTTTACTTTAAATCAGACATGAAGTTCTAGCTGTGTTGGTACCAAGTCTTCTCATCTTTCACCAGGATTGACCACTTTTGTCCGAGCTAATCTAGTAAACTAGGGAACCTGGGCATCTAAAGCTAGTCCAAAGAGCGGGTAGTTTGCCTAGTTTAGTCCTGCATGAACCGGGTCAGAGTTCGTGACACGGCTGATTTACCACCGCTATGGTGGTCTGACCATGCCCAT